GTTGATAAAATAAGCGTCTCCTGTTATACATGCATGTTCGATGATGATTTGGCGCTGCTAGCAAACATGATTAACCCCGCCACATTCTGTACTAAGTCAGGAGCCTGTAATTCAGTGGTTGTCAGTTTTGCTGTATATCATATTTTTTTCATTTAGTGTGTTGTACTTAAATCAGGTGTTGCATGTAGTTCTATTCGTTTAAATTTAACATTTGCGATGTCGGTGTCTATTATTACTTATTATGCGGTACGTTGTATCATTTAAAATCATACACCTTATACTTATTATATAATTACGCGCCTAGCGAATCCACACTCAGGAATTTATCAAGTTCGACAATAGGCCACAATCGATAAAAGAACAGATAAGATAACAATTCTGGTATCTAAGTTTAAGGACTGCAACATCATGTCTCTAGTGAGTTTAGATAGAGACTTATTGGTCATCAAATTTGTGATGGTGACCGATATACGTATACAGTATCGAATTCACTCGTTCTTTCACATAACTGTGTTTGAGCATATTTTATGTCAGCAGCACGCCGCTGCAAATGACTTTATATAAAGTTTGAACATAAATGAGCGTTACAAATCAATAGCGACATGTGTACGCCATACGATGGGGTAAAGAGTATGTTACTGCTCAGAAATAGGAAGTGGACAATAAGAAATCTGAAACAATCTCGATCGTTTATTTCCATCTACTTCAAAAATCGAGGGAGAAATCAATATCTGAAATCAATCTTTCTGTTTCGTTTATATCCTTTATCAAACGTTAACTGTGATATCTAAAACAAATATTCAAGATAACAAAGGGGCATGGATTCACGTATTTCGAAAAACCCAAATAGGCCAAATATAGTACGAAGTTGAGGAACATTGAGTGACAAGGACATCAATATATCAGAAAATTAATTTAAAAAAAAACTTCGAAAACATTTCGTCTTTCTTTTTCTTTTATAAGCTTTTGTAAGAATTCTGCTTCGTACAAAAAAGAATATGTCTGTAGGGTGCAAAATTAGTGCACAATGGTATAACGACTATCAGTTGAAATGTCAATCAACCAAACTGAACATATGTGATGTTAATCAAACAGGCAGCATTTTGATGGTTTGATATGATTTTTCCATTGAAAATGAGAATTAGGAATATGAAGCGTAGAAAAATCGACAGATTGAAGCATTGCATTAGATCTTTAGAATTTTGAAATATCCATCTTAGTGACACGAGTCGTAGAATGTACCACAGTTAGTTTAGAATACGCAGTTCGGAGCTCAGAATTATCGAAATTGAGAAATGGTAAACAAAAAATATGTGCACCAAAAGTAAAGATGTACAAATTTCCGAGAAAAGGCATACCTGTCAACTAAATACACTTGAGTTTTTTAGAATTGTGGACAATGTATAAGTTATTTAACATTGCTTACATAACTATCAAAACTTGCAGAAGTATGCAACTGACTGCAAATGTGACTTTTTAGAGCCAAAAAGCTATAATCGTAGAAATTTATATAACTGCGCGCAAAGGTCTTTGAACTAAAAAAAAACATAATTATTGTAGAATTATGCACAAAATATCTTAAATTTGCTACCTTGCAAAAAATGCATATTGTAAAACTGTTGACATAAATTTACTGATTGAAAAAATTAAAATAATTGTAAATAAATGCAACAGTATCATACCGCTGTTCAAAAGTCATAAATCGATTGAAAAAAAAACACAAATCCGGGTTACAAACTGAAACCGTGGAAAACACATCAACCATAAAAGGAAAACAATGAAACAACAGAAACACTAAAGTGCAACAAAAAACAAACGACAATGCAACATACAAAGAATGAACTATTAGATAACAACTGCCATATTCCTGTGACATTGAAAAGTTATGAACCTGAGTTTAGATCATTAATCTTCTATTCATCATATGATATGAATTATGCAGCATTTTGCTAATGGTGTTAAACACATGGAACATGTAAAATTGTGCACTTGAATTAAGAATGCATATTCATACAAAAAAATCAACACGGTGTAAATTATTTGTAAAACTGTTCACTTGAATTTAAATTGTTGCATATTCATAGCTATGGACTTGAATTTAAATCATTAATCTTCTATTAATCATGTAATAGGAATTATGCAGCATTTTGCATATGGTGTTCAGTACAGATACATTTGCAGATTATGCATTCCCGTTAAGTATAATATGTCTATTTTGGGTTTGCTTTGTTCTACAAATTTTTTGTTATATATAACAATTATATATATTTTAGGTCTGTACAATATTCACCCTTTCACTGGTGTGCCATTTCATATAGATAATTGTTCCTATTGTAATCACAAAAAGAACATGTTACAGTCTTGTAACCTATATAAGGTAAAACTATGATTTGTACAAATGCACCATGAAGTAAAATGACACTTAGTTACCATCACAGTATATTTACATATATATTTATACGTATAAACATTTAAATTATAGTATGTTTCACCTTAGAAGATACCAGATCATACGACAGGTAAGGTGCATAATTATGATATCAGCAAACTATTAGTGACATTTAATTGTAAATCAAATAGATAAATGATCAATAGATAATTTTTTTTATTTATATATAGTATACAATAAAAATAATTGTGATATAAATAATAGCAATATCTATTTTTGAGCGTTTGTTGCAATTGATTACCAATATTTAAAAGCAACGTTTTAAATAATCCATACGAAGAGTTATTTATATTTTTAAAAAATCATAAATAACGCCGTAAAAGGCTACTATTTACTTTTAACATTTAATGCAGATAAAACAATCATAAAATAATTGACAAATTAACAAATTCTGTTGACATGGGATAAAATGCATGTCATCTGCCTATCTCGTCAAACATTATTGTGTAAGAGAATTTGTTTTCACGAAGAAGAAAAAACGTAAAATAAGATTATATCGTATTGGTGTAGATATAATTATATGGTTTAAGTCACGACTGCAAACAAGTGTTAAAAAATACATCTGACTTAAAGTGCGTCGAGTACACAAAGCCTGTGGAATGTTTTGATTGTAATGAGCATTGGTGAGTTTTGTTTACGCTAAATTCAATTTAATCTCGTCATCTGAAATTGTTTAACTTTATACTGGAGCAAACAAAATAATGTGATTTAATAATCCGAACATCTGACAGCTAAAGAATGTTTACCTGTTAACATCAAATCATTACCCTTTTAATTTTCATCCATGCTTATCCATGTAAATAATCGTTATTTAATGTGTTTTATTGTGTATGTTATCATGCTGAAATTGAATGCAAAATCAAATTACATCACTTATGATTGTGTTTTGTACCAATATCAACCGATATTATATTTTGTGCTTAAAGCAGAGGCAGCATAAAATGACAATTATCGATTTGATAGTTATGAAATGAAAACGAGTGTGATGAGAGACAAAATGGGAAAATTCGACTGCCACTTTTGGGTAACAGCTGATGAAATAGCCACTTGGTTATAAATGAACCTATCCTTAACAAATTATGATTGAGAAACCTTTCCTGTGATAAGAACGAGGTACTCTTCTATCTGGTTTTGATAAATCTTGCACTGCAGAGGACGACCCTGGTTGGGATTAACTCCTCAGTCAAAATACTAAGTCTAGAATACGATGTTTTTCTTTTGACTGGGAATTGATATTTATGAAGATCTTTTAAGTTAGTTTTCTTCTTCATTTCGATTCAAATAACACAAAATTACCCTTGTTCCACCTATTTCCACCTATTAAGGGATAACAAAATAAATCATTGATACATCTATATTTGCTGGGCTATTGATATTTATTGAAGCTTATGGTAAATTTTATTAACCTTTCAAAATAACTCAATTAAGTAACTTTTCTGCACAAAATCTTTACTCGGATAGTTCAGCTTTATTTACGACATATGTCTGTATCAAATATTGTTTCGATTTCACTATATCTACAATGAGTAGGCTCAATGTTGAAGCAATGTGAAATTCTTAAGAAAGTCATTGAAGTGTACTTACCTTCCGCTGTGGAATTGTTTGAAAAAGAAATAATCTGACCTGGCAATAATTAATGTAATTGGTGCATTAGACAAAGTTTTATTGAAATTCGAATGTGTCTTGAATTTTTATGGACTTTTGTCAATAATGAAAACAGCTTAGTAAGGTAGAACAATGAAGGACACATCTCGCAATAATTTATTACATATAAGGGGCGTTTTCTAAACGATGGTGCTGTCTTGAATTTTAGTAAACTACTGTAAGTTGTCCATTTTACTTCATTTAACATTAACAACAGTTGTACAAATTCATTTTTGAACTTAAGAACCCAAGACGGCACTGGAACTCTCAAGCCCACACTTTGAATGTTAATGGTGGATAAACACTTGAAGACTTACAATTAAGAGCAAAAGGGGCCCAAAGGAATAGCAAAGCGCACGTAACGTGTTCCTGTGTGAATTGAATACAGGAGACATTAGCCATCCTCATACCGCTTTTTAGAAATTTCTCATATCATTTTATTCTGTTATCATAATACCAGATTTGTATATGCTTGAAATCGACGAAACGTAAAATGCTGTTTTAAAGTCTTCCCGTACGTCCGTATGAATGTCAACATGTCGAACAGTTACTCAAATTTGCATTCATTAATTTCTATGATATTTTAGCACAATGGATCAACAAATGAAAAATATTTTTCAAATTTTGACATTTTTTGCTTTCATGTACCATGGTAACGGTACTTTTACCCTCATATTTAAGGTAATGTTACATAAATCACACTCTTACATTGAAATTATTTACTAATTACTGCATACTGTTGTTGCGATTTATAACAGAAAGCTCCGTTTCTATCTATATTTTTCTTTGTTCTAGATCATGTAATAATAACCTTCTTATTTAGGTCAATTTGCCACATATTGCACACGTCCTCTACTTGGTTTAGACCAGTTTACTTAAAACGTAATATTGTTGTTGGATTCACAAAAAACGTTCCATTTAAATTGAGATATTTTGTATTTGTCGTTCCACATTTATAAGACCTACGCGTATTTTGTACACTAACTTGCGTATTTTTGGATAAATTTACTTGGACTTTTACACAGTTATTAAGAAAAACTTTCAGATTATCATTCCAGAATCATGGGACTTTCACCTTTAGATTTAAGGTAATTTACATATGTCAAACAGTCAAGCTCTAGTATGCTTGAATCAAATAACAACAAACTTTACATTTTACTCGAATTGGTGAATTTCTATTATTTCACTATTTGTTTTACTTTTTCTTATTGTTGTTTTCTACTAAATGTTTTTGCTTTTCTTCATGTGTTCTTGTTCTGCCAATCCCGTTCAATATAGTATGTATAGAAATTACTACAATATCTAAAATGCTATGATAAATTCTGATGCTGAAGCCCAATTTTGAATTTGTAAGTAATTCATAAATAGCGGGGTATATTCAATAGGCAATAATTTAAAATAATTTTTAAGGACAACTTAAAACAAGAAAAAAATATCTATAGTTTATTGTTGATGCAAATACATACTTGAACGGTGTCAAAAGGAAGTAAAAATGATTCAATTTAATAAAAAATCAAGAAATGAAATATCACAACAGTAAAATGCAGACCGCTTTACTATGTCAAAGAATTACTGTTTACGATGTGATTTAAAACATCAATAAGACTAATCAATATCAAGTGAAAACGCTGTGTTGTAAGTTAATGCCTTACAGGCAAACACCTACATTCTTTTTAAACTACAGACATAACCGATATTTTATCTAAATTAAAACAATGTGTAAGTGGCTTATATAAGCCGGAAACTTCAGATAAGAAAACAGACTCTTGTAGAGAGTTGTCTCATAACACATCTTTTTTTATATATATTGATGACATTCTTTTTATCTTAATTTCGAAATATCATAATTTTCATTCACAATTCATTTGGCTCAGTGGTTAGGGGACTCAACTGTCAAAATTAACAATTTAAAGAGAAAATATTAATTTGCAAAAGTTTAAATTTACTTCGATCGAATTTAAAGATTAAATCTGAACAACCCGTGAATATAAGTTTGTCTAACAAAACATCATATCTCTTTCCATTCCAATACTCATTCTGCCCATATTTCCATTGTTATCGTGGTCGATAACCAAATGTTAAGTGTAAGAGTGAATATTTCTATACTTATATCCATTTTCTTTCATTACGACTACACATTTGTTCTAAATCAGCTTGTTTGAAGAGCTTTCAGAAACAATGTAGCGTGATATATAAACTTTAGAATGTGTCGTCCTTAAAGATGCACATAAGTTTTTATTGTCATTATTTAAATACCAGTTTGACCTTTTCTATCCCTCACCTTAACCGATAAATCACCCGTATCTTTTTAGATTTCAACACCGTATACAATTATCGTGTGCTACTGAATGTATCTATTCATGCTATTATCTTTTATAATAAAATTTACTTTGACAGCGGCGTTGTTTTATAAGAAATGATACATTTCAGACTAAGTATTTTTAAGTATCAATTATTTGGCTATTTGGTTAAATTAGTACTGTGACTTCATTTGGTTGACAAAGTCGAACACTTAACATGATATTGGTTTTTTTTTTTAACACCTCAACATCATAACTTGTGTATTGTTTGTATTTATGTTTTTATTTCCGACCAGAAACTTTTTTTCTTAAATTCGTCAATTAATTGACATTATGGAAAAACATATTCATATTTTAACTTCAGTAATCTTCATATCTGTTTAGTTCAGGAGAAATTTAAAGTAAGGATGTTTATTGTGTTGAGATTTTACTGTATTCCGCTATCAGAGTTTTCTGTGTCACTTAATTTCTCTTCTGTTTTTGGGATTAATATATATATATATATTTGGACGGTGTCAAAGGCAATAAAAGTAATTGAAGTAACTCAAAAATAAAATAGCTTTTCACAACAGTAAAATGTAGTCACGACTCTGTAAAGACATGCAAAATGAAATTCATATATTGGCTTGAATAGCAGAAGTGGCATTTAAACACTTTCAACGAGTACCTCTTTATTATACCAAAGAACCACTGTTTATAATGTTACAAAGGGTGATTTGGAACATCGATAGTACTAATTAGCATTAAGTCAATTAAAGACTGTGTTAGGTAACATCCACAAAATAATTTAAATTGCAAACATTTCCGATTCTTAATCAAAATTTTTTTTTCTAGTTTTTTTCATATTTAATAGTTTATTTATCGATACCTCGAGTAATCAGAGGGGGAAATTAAAACTGCATAATTTGATGCGTCCGAGGCTCTCTCAAGCGTACAAATATGTCTTTCATCATTTTGAATATTGTCTTGATTGTTATGGATGTACATAACATTTACACCATCCTTTATACCGACTACTTTGCTGATGTTGTTGTTTTTGGTTCGAGTCAGAGTTTTATGGTATAACAAGCTTAATCTACAATAGGGATGTCAACTAGATGAATAAAAAATCGAGTATTCGTTGGTTTTATCTATTGATACCTCGAGTAACCATGGGGTAAATATTTATAAATTTCCTGCTTTAGACGCATGAAAAATATAAAGTTTTGTTTTTGTTTGTTCTCTGTGAATCTAATAAACACACATTTTACTCATGTTGGTCGTTGCTTTATGGACGCTAAACTTTTTAAATAATATGCATTTAAATGAATTACAAACCATAATTTATACATCATGATAAATCTGGTATCTTTGATGAGTTTTTACTACATGTACTTATTAAGTACACAATACAATAATAAAAACCAATAGCATATTTACAATTCTTTATCGCAAAGAAAACACATTCGGAAATTATGATCATAAGAAGTCACTTGGGGTCATCACATATTCTGACGAATTTTATCTATCTTGTTAATTCTATCAGGGATGAATCGATTTCACAACTTCTTAACTAACAGTCTTGACGTAGTCGATGTGTATAAAAAAGTTAATACACGTTTAGTCAAATATGGAGGCCTTAGAAACTACTTTCGTGTTAGTCAACCACTTTCATTGTAAGAACATATTTCGATACTTCGTTGGAATTTCCAAATGGAAAAATTCGGAGTTTAAAATGACAATTTGGCAAACACATACACTACATATTTACCCATGATCAAAAGAGATATGACTTAATATCTTCAAGGGTCATTGAGATTAAAACTAATTTTATAAAAAGAAAATTTCCTAATAGAAAACCAATTAGTCGAGTTTCATTTGGTAAACGATACCCGGTACTACCGAATGATACTCTAGTATTTGAGAACCCATTGACATTACTAATGTATAATTCTTATATGATTTGCATATTTTCAAAAACTAAATAAATTTTGTCCGTTAGATCTGTTTCCCTTTGTTTACACTTAGAAAGACGATGTTGCCGAAACTTCTTTCGTAACCAATTCTTGCGCGATATACGTGGATGGGATTCTAGGTTTTTAAGAAAGTAAGATATAGACACAAAAACAGTTAAGAAATGCTATTCCTATTCTAATGCATCACAAAAAAAGAAATGTAATGCATTATATTGTCATTTTGTGTATTCTTATCCTTCATTTTTGCATTTTTGCTTTGTCTACATGCCATTTTGCTTTTCTTTTTTGACATAGATTATTGTTTTATATTGATTAAGATTATACACAAACTTGACTGCTGTTCCCGAATTTTTGACATTTTACCTATTATATCTGTATGTTTTGTTCACACATTGTTGTCAATATAATTGAATTATATGCGAGTGCCAAACAAGTGAGAGGTTTAGCTAGTTATAAAACCAGGTTTAATCCACCGTTTTCTATATAAGAAGATGCATGTACTTAGTCAGGAATATGACAGATGTGTTCCATTTATTTTATGTGTTTGAACTTTTTTTTAACTTAATTTTGCTATTTGATAAGGGACTTTTCGACAATTCCGTGAAATTTCATGAACGATCTTGGCGTATTAAAGTCATGACAAAACATGACGCCAAACGAATGAAAACTCTCAAGTTGAAGTTTATTTTGTTACTTTTTTGGGTGCAAACTGAATACAAGAAAATGTGAGTACCATGCAAGCAGTTACATATTTTTGAAAAAAAACAGGAAAGCTTATTTTAAGTTGTCAATTCTTATATTTCTCTGTTGTGTTGTCGTACCAATGAGAATATATATATATATATATATATATATAAAACTCTACGGTAAGTAGTTTCCACAGATACCTTTTTTTGTGGTATATGTACCTCTGCTCGGGACTTATGTTTTAATACATAAATATACCGTTACCTGGATGACTTTGATACTATGTTTCACTTGCACTCGTGTCATCATATGCATTTTCATCCTTTGATAAATTAAATGTTTTTTTTCTATTTCAGATTGTTTGAAAAGCGTATAATGACTGTGAGTATAATCTTTTGCTTAATATTTAAAATGTGTTGTTGTAGTTCATACTTTTTATGCATCATACTTGTTTTATTGCCATACATAGTGACACGAAAACCCTTGTTGAATTTGTTGTCTTTTTCATTTCGAGAACTCAGATTATCATATAAAATAGACCTCTTATAATTGAATCTATATATATACGCTTTATTTTAAAATAGTCGAGACCGTATTTGTTTTTATATTTTTACTGGATGTATGAAATGTATACTAATTGACGAGGTTTTTATTCGTCCGGTGATCAAACCCACGTCATCCTGCATTCGAGGCGCCCCGATGTTAAGGAATTTTTTTTTTTTCCATTTTTTTTTTCATACAAATCAGAAATCTAAAATTTGAATGGAATATAGCACTCGTATTATTATCTCAATCGCAATAATAAGCCCTAAAGAAAATCATGGATGAGGAATTAATGTATTTTCATTGATACTTGATTTCGTTGTTTACAAGAGTCTGTAAAAAAGCAGATAGCAAATTAATAATTCGATGAATATTTACATGAATTTCGTTCTTTCCCTATAATCACGAAATCAAACAAAATTAGTTCCTCACAAATGATAATGAACCCACAGCATTACATAAATTTCCTTACATAGTGTTATTTTGCTGAGCCTAGCAAATGCTCAACGAGCTTTTTTCAGATAAAAAATGCTATTTTATCAAACAAAGTCTTCACAAAAACTATAAAACAACCTACGATGTGTGAACAAGATTTGAATACTAAGAATTTAGAAATATCTGATAGCTCTTTTGCGTTTTGTTGACCTATCCCGAGCTGTTTATGTGTTATCCGAGCCGATGCAATCTCACAATTTACATCAAAATTGAAATGATGTTATTCTAGGAATATTGTAATTGACATCAATTATGAAAAGTATTCTGTATTTGAAATTATTTCTTATTGACACAAATAAGTACTATAAGAAATTCATAGAGGTCAATGAACCTAATTTAAAGGTAAATAATTTGAAGTTAACAGCTGAACATATCAACAAGGTAAAGTACTGAAGATGGGATATTTATCTGGAAGTCAAGTAACAAATGTATCAGATTAATGTTTAGTTAAATTTTAAGAAATATCTTCTCACTTAGGATGTTTGTTTAAATATCTAAAGATATCAATTTTATGTATACCATCAATTATATGTATACCATCAATTATGACCATCACAAATGCTAAACACATTTTAAATGCAATTTCAAAAATTGACCATATGATTTGATTTAATAATTGTAATAAGTATGTAAAAATGAAACCAAGTGATATGAAAACTATTGATGGAATGGGAAGTTGGCCATATAACCTATGTTTGTCAAAGACCATACTTTTCTGTTGTTGCTCATCATAAATTGATAGAAAACCGTTAAAGTCGGGACAAATGCCTTCTTGGCTCAGTAGTATCGCCAATTTCATATTGACAGGGTATATGAGTTGTATGGTGTATAAGAAAGATCGTGTCATTGTCTGATGTCATCAAACTTAAGTCTCATGCTTTTCAATGGCTTTTTCATGGTTTCCGATTCTCTTTTATAAATTTATATTTTAAAGAAACCTGAGGTTTCATAAAATTCTGTTATTCTAATTTAATTAATCACTCTGTGTTATGTATGTCTTCCTTTGTCTTAACCGTGTGTCAAACATAACCAACAACCCCAATTATTCTTCAGATATTTGTAACCGATACATAAATAGACCGGAAATGAAGTAGCATATAAACAACTTCTACAAATTTTTGTACAATTAAAATCGTTTCATCAGAATTTCATAAAAACCGTTAGAGATCCCTTATTCAACTTTTTTTTGTCTACAAGATAAAGGCAGATATATAGCATGTTGTTTTATAATTTACTAAATGTCATTTTGATATTTCAGAATCAGAAATCCTTGATTTGTATTTAATTCTTTTTTATTTATATATTTACTTTGAACATGTACTCTTCAACTATTCACAAATGCTTAATAAAGGCAACAGTAGTATACCCTGTTCAAAAGTCATAAATCAATTGAGAGAAAACATATCAGGGTTACAAACTATAACCGAGGGAAACACATCAACTAGAAGATGAAAACAACGGAACAACAAAAACACTGAAGTGCAACAATCACAAACGCCAACGTACATAGAAACGAACTATTTGATAACAACTGCCATATTCCTGACTTCGTACAGGACATTATAAGAAAAATGGTGGGTTGAACCTGGTTTTATGGCTCGACAAACCTCCCGCTTATATGGCAATGTTCAAAAATATCGCTGAAAGGACAACACTTTAAACACTTAAACTTCTTGCAGGGTGTATGAGAAGATTTGTGTAAACGCTGTCTTGTAGATATGTACAAACATCTTTCGGTAAGTTTGTGTTACAAATTTCGTGCATGTCACATAGAAGATGCTTATTGATCATATGTTTATCTTTGTTTGACATTTTAACTTTTTTATTCGAGCTAAACTATTGAGTCTTTTGCAGACGTAGCGCGTGACCAGCGTTAGAAATTTTAAACCTGATTTATTTGATGATATTTTTTATAACAAAACTAAATTGGGTAGAAAGAAGACATATGATAACAAATAACGCACTGTCAAATAACACCACTAAAATTTAAATGCATTACAATCAAAGAAGTTACAAAGATGTTTTTGTTAGAGTCTACCTCCCATGTCCTTTTATGTCTGTTTGTTCAAATGGTGACACCCGAAACTGATTTATGTACTTTTAAAACGTCGATACTTCAAAACGAGGTTATTCTCTTCAGATAGTTGCAAACAAAAATATATCTAAATCAAATTCTTTTAGGCCCACTTAATATACATTAAACAGTTAGATGCGTTTTAGAACGGCACTATAAAAATATAGTTATCATAGGTAATATTGCTCACTCAGAAAATGTAATTCGAACCAAATTGTATCAAGTAATATTGTCTTTTCATATTAACCCCATGTGAATGGATACAAATCTCTTTGAAATTTTTACTCAGAGTTATGAAACCAATTGAAACATAATTGCAATTAAATCATTCAAAATTGGTAGTGCATAAGCTTCATGATATTATTGTTTCATGATTTGAAGATAAAACTAAATATTGTTGTGGTGGGATGATGTTTTACCTGAGGGCAAAATCAGATTTTTGATTCTTTTTAAATACATTTTTTTCATGCAAACTATTATTTTTTTTATGAACTAATCATGGTTCGGTGATAAGAAATTACAAGTATTTTTGATGAATGAGTCTGGTGTGATTATGCCTAATTTTGAATCATAATTCCAAGGTTCTGTGAACAAATCTAACTTTGATATTGTATTGAGAAATTGATTTTTCTAATGTTATTACTAGAATACGCTTAACATGGAATCCCAGTTATAAATATTTATGAAAAAGTAAAACAACAAAAATACCAAACTCCGAGGAAAATTCAAAACGGAAAGTCCCTAATCAAATGGCAAAATCAAAAACTCAAACACATCAAACAAATGGATAACTGTCATATTCCTGCCTTGGTTGGTTTTGTAGCTAGCTAAACCTCTCACTTGTATGACAGTCACATAAAATTCCATCATATTGACAATAATGTGTGAACATAACAAACACACATAAAAGGTACAAATGTCAAAAATCGGGGTACAGCAGTCAACATAGTGTTATAATCTTAATCACTATAAAACAAAAATATATAAAAAAAGGGAGGAAATATGGAATGATTGCCAATGAGACAACTATCCACCAAAGTTCAAATGAAGTGAATGTAAGCAATTGTATTCATACCGAAGACCCTTCAACTATGAGATTAACCAATATAGTATAGTCAGCTTTAAAAATCCAAAATGAAAATGTGAAACAACTCAAATGAGAAAGCTATAACAGCCTAATTGAGTACAAAATAATTTACGAAAAAATAGTATTGCAGACATGAACCAAAGACAATAACAGAATTAGAGGCTCCTGATTTGGGACAAGAACACAAAGAATGTAGCGGGTTTAAAACTAATGCCCTCTCCATAACTCGGACAGTGGTATAAAACCACAACATAACTGTTCAGTAACTTCGAGTACTCTTACATAACTTTCTGTTTATATGTTAGTTGTTTTATATGTCGTACCAATCTGATAAAAATATTTCCAGCTGATTTGCTTTCCTTGTTCATTCTATTTACTATTTTAGAAGATCTGGTAATACTGCCAATGAGACACTCTCCATAAAGACCATCAAAGCATGAATTTAATTATGTTTTTGCAAAAATATTCTTTAGTTGAACTAAGCATAGTTTGGTAAAAGGTATTTGAACTTGTTTTTTTAAGTTCTGGATTTATTATTTCCCAATACTGGATTGGACTTACATGTCAGTTTGAACACTATCCTATATTGTATGTGATCAGGGTAGTACATTTGTTTTATTATTTTGAATTACATAAAGGTTTTCAAATAACATGTCCCACTTTATATATAAATATAATGTGTCTGTATATTATTCGTTGAAGGGGATAAAACACAATGGATGACAAGTGATAATGTCAATGTGTATATATATTATGTTGACTATGATTTTCATTAAAAATCTAACTCTCTAGGGCAAATGTTGATTTGACTATCCTTTTGTGTTCCTTTGGTCACAAAGCTCCTAATGTATTAGAGTAGTTTTACATCCTTGGTTTCAAAGGTTTTGGGTGTGAAAGGTCATTATTAGTCAGCCTTTGGGTATGTTGATTTGGTCAGTCTTTCAATAACCGAAAATAAAATATTTACTATGATTTGTCTGTATGAGCATTGTTAATTTAAACATTTAGGCGGCCATAGCCCGAAAAACGCAAGTTTGTTTACTTCAAAATTGGAGCATTGAACGTCATATTTTAACTGCTGTAATTTGAACTGAATATGCTTTGTTCTGAATAAAAATCTTTGATACATGCTACAATCTTATATTTTTTAACGTTTTTTTCACGTAGCACTTTAACGCCCTATCATGTAATACACTTACATACGACTTAGTGTTTGATAAATATTTTTTAACAGTAATTGTTATTTAAGGATTTTACTTAAGTACTTATTAATTTCTAGTTCTATTTATCTAGATAGTTCTTACCCTGGTGATGTTTATAGACTTATCCTCTGGTGAGTTTTAATGCAAATTTGCTTTGACTTAACTTTATTTTTGTAAGCATTTCTGTACATTTTTCCTAAGTAAAATAGTATAGATACCTTTTTACATATATTTTGTATTCTTCCCCTGAATGAAAAGCTAGATGATGGTTTGCTAGAATAATGCACAATTTGCCTAAACACAGTCCTTCACTTTGTCATTTATAAATGAATAGTTGCAAAAGTGTCTGTTCTATTACAGGATCTATATATTGGAAGGTGGTTACTACACCGGCAAGGTTCGGAGGAGATTTAAAATTACAATGTTATCTAGATAAGACTACGTCACTTTCAAGAACCAGACAATGGTGCAAAGGAAAATATTCAACTATCTTGGTTATGAATGGAAAAGCATCAGACCCAACTAAATATTCAGAGACTTTAGACCAAACCAAACGTATTTCCGTTTTAACAATATCGGCATTTGACCCTTCTGATCTTAATGTGCAATATACATGTCAACATGGTTTTTTTATGTATAAGAACTGGTTAAATATGTCCATAGAGGATTTCGGAAGTAAGTAACTTTTACTTGTCTGTGATATAAATACTTGGCTTTCAAATATTTGGCTTTGAGCGTTCCTGATGAAGGTTAATCCAGAAAAGCGCTACGAGCGCATGAAGTATATATAACGTGTTGTTTTCATTTATTTCCCATTTAAAGGCATTAGCCATTATACAGAGTTGATTCAGTGAAAAGTATAAAGTCAACATAACTTCCTCGTAGACTGAATATGTGTTAGTAAAATATCCTTCGACTTTTAGAGAATAACCAAGGTCACCTGTTAAACAAAGATTATCGTGAACCTTTACAGCTGTTAAACATAGAAGCCAAACAGTGGCAGACAAAAAAGAGTTTGTAAGCTTGCAACAAAGTCGCTAGAGTGCCCGAATGTGTTTTTGAAAGTCAAATCAAATACGAAGTTGCAGCGAATTAAACTGAACTGAAACATCCGAAAAATGTGTTCAATACGGCTAATGCAATTGGTGCCCGGCGAAGACAAATCTTACTGCAAAATTCACCATTTTATGAACAGGAAAGAAAAAGGTTCACGAAGGGCTCGAATTGACCTCAAGAATCAATGTTTTAATCAAGCCAAAAAGACCACAAATTTTACATTGCAATAGTTTTGATATTACTATTATTACACAATAACTTCTTCTTTAGGTACCTCACAATTTAAATTTCAAAGTTATGACCGCTTTATTATGCAGTATATGTGTTGTACGTCAGTTTTGGTCCATTTTTCTATAATTTGTAACAGTTGTTTGCATAATTTACTATGGTCGCATACCTGATCTAGAAATGTTTTGAATCTAGAGATTCAATATCAACAATGGCACCTTTTGGATCACGTTTTACTGTCAAGGTTTTCTAAAAACTTTTAGGTCCAACAAATGCTAGAATCTTATTTTGAAATATATATAAAATATGCAGACTTTAGAGCCTCTACTGTGCTATTATGAACAGATTTGTTAAACCTGGTATTAAGTCTTTTAAAGTAAATCCATTTTAAAACCAAATTGTGGATTATCCGTAAGGTGACTTATAATTGTTTAAATCCACCTTAATTGGATAGCTGTCTCGTTAAAAATCATGCCACACCTCCTTATTTCATACTATTACTTGGTACGCCGTATATGGCGTGTAAAAATAACTTCTTTTAGAAACAATTACACTATTTCAAAATAAATATGTCCATGTGCTCTTTTTTTATGGCAGGTATCAAGGTAAAATGGTATGTATGTGTTTTGGTTCTTTTTTTTTTGTATATGCTAGATGTGGTTTAGATGTCAGATTATTGCATTTTCTGCCGCATCTACTTTTATTTACCCTGTTTGATTTAGAGATTTAAGCAGTTTGTTTTAGTGTGTATGTCATTGTAAGGGACGTACAATTTTATCTGTTTGGTAACCGCTTGTTATTTGGTTGACGTCTTTTGTAACCAACATCTTTTTTCAATTGAATTTACTTTTATTTGCTATTTGGTTTTACATTAACGTATAAAAAAGTGAAAAGATATGATAAGAATTGATAGCCTTAGAACGTTCCACAATGTTTTTGAAATACAATATTGGTCTCAAAGGATACTTTTTATACGAGTTTGACAAAAACAATGAAAAAGTAATTATTTTTTGGATTGACCATACACTTAATTAACCTATAAATCTTCTTTAAAGAACGATATGATTATTTCTTTTGTCTTATTTTGTTTTATCACTTCATTTCAGACCAACCTACACCACAAAATTCAGAGAAGGATCAAACTCTTGGAATTGTTGGACACATCGTGTTCACATTAATGTCCATTTGGTACCTCATACTGTTTCCGTTAACAATCGCTCTTTATAAGTATTTTAACCGATAATTCATTAACTGTCTCCGAAAAACAGTTGTTTAGTCAGCGTCCATGTGTATGTTCAAATTTCCCAGTATGAATAAAAATTGTCAAAATGAAGTTAGAAAAATTTCGAAAGAAAAACTGTACACTGATTACGTTATTTTATTGTTCGATTAACGATACATTTTATATTGAATAATATTGTAAAAAGATTCAAAAAAAAGAAATGTAACTTTTTTTGGTGATTGAGATATGATGGGAGTCCTTATCTGACATTCTAAATTTAAGAATATTCTTCATGCCTTCGATGGTTGACATCTTTACCTGGAGTGCCAGATACGCATTCAAAATGAAATTGTTATCATAATAAAATGGCATATTGTAGGAGGAATTTTTCAGAAGTCATTAGAAAGATCATACTGAAAATGATAGCCTTTAGTATTTAAGCATTGTTTTGAAACTGACATAAATTATAACAACTCTTGAAAAGCAATTCCTAATCTACTCCAAAATCGAAGGGAGCTAGCTATTACCAACCTCATCAACACTATGGAAAGTTACCTTAAATGTTACACATTTGGACCCATAACACTGGAATGACCTATAATAAATTTTCATAATCAAAATGAAGCTTTTAACAATCCTATCAGTTATACAAAGTTTGAAGGAAATTAATCGACACATACTCAAGTTAGTTAGATAAATGCAAAATAATGCTTAAATTTTACGGTGATAGTCAAATTGCTTGCAAATGACAAAACTGGAAAAAAAACATTACTTCGAAAGGTATGTTATATCATTGTCAACATAAATGTAATGATTCAAGCAAATTGATCTACTTTTACTGAAGTTCCAATATTTATCAATTCAAACACCCTATACAAGTTTCATGAAGTTTGATCAAAGCATTAGATATCATTTGTAAGACTTGAGAATGGATGGAAAGATGAACGGATTGATTGACAGACAGAGAGATAAAAATTTTCAAATAAATTTGGCATCCTTTTCGAAAAATCTATTTAACACAATTTGAAATACAGTCAGCATCAAAAGACTACATTTAACAAACATGTTTTAGAATGCTTCATCTGAGCAAAAAAGTTAAAACATTGTTTTAACGCGTCACGTAGTTATTGCACAGGAACACTTTGAACTAAGAGCTTAATTAATATTACCCTAATTTTTCATTTATTTGTATTTCTTTTTTCAGGGGGAGGGGGCTATTTAGGTTAACTTTTAATCAATAAATGAGCCACTGCGTAAAGCACAAACTTCTGAAAGTTTCTTCGAGGAATCATTGTCTATATTTATGTTGTTAATATGTTGTAATTTAATAACTTATTACTTTTTATTTATTAAATTGACATCATGCAAGCCATTGCATTTTTTTATTTTACTGATGAAGATGTTTGAGTAGACATTTTTGAAAATTTATCGACACTGCGGTTACATCTATGCCTATGAAAGTAAGGTTTTTGAAAAGGAATTCTCTCAAGGTGTGCAATGAGCACAGGTATTTATAAAATATCTATCAAAAATACATTGCAAATATTGTATAAAAAATATTTTCAATTTGTATTCTATAAGACAACTGTATGTATTAGCTATAGTAGCATAATGTAATGTTCTTTTGGGCATATTGTCAACTAAAAACTATGGTCCTATTCGTCAGGGGGAATTTTAGAAAGTTGAAAAAACACTAAAACATGAAAGGCAGACTAAAAATTATCAGAGGTTGAAGACTAAAACCCTAGATAACACACAAACACACAATTTTTTTATTTTTATTTTAAGTTATGCATTTTTAAGATCCATTTTTAAAATCTGTCGTCAAGGGTTTTTAGTTAATATTTAATGGGTGTTTAATGAATGGTGTATTCGACTTTTTTATTGATGAGAAACAAGATGAAGTCGTTGCTTACCTGTCGAATGACAAAAAGGACTCTGTCGATCCACTTCTGCAATGAAAGGTTAAGCTACACCCCTCTAAACTGCTGTTACATCAATGTTTGAAGTCTCCTTTTCTGCCACCAGAAGCGGAGGCTACAAACATGGAAGCAACTGTAGTGGCAAAAACGTTGACCACATATAGAAAACGTAATGATCTGAAAGGGATACAAATACAACTTGATTAAAATAAAATCGTAGCCTAAAAAACTCACAAACTAGCAGATGATAAAACTCAAGGTTTTAAGATTTAAAGATGAAATAAGACATGTACTTAATTATTGAAACTTTTGGATCTTTCTCTGAACTTGAACTCAAAAATAACAAAACAGAAGGTATATGGCTAGGTAAACTCAAACATTGCAAAGATAAATTTGAAAGTATCAATTGGAAAGATAAAGTGAAAAGTCTTGGTATCTATTTCGACTTTACAAACATGAATGTGAAACACCTAATATAGATAAACAGATTGAAAAATCAGAAAAAAATACTAAACGATTGGAAGAAAAATTGAGTATGATTGGAAAGATAACTATAATCTAAATACTAGTTAATCCCAATATAACATATGTTGTTTCATTGATAAATCTAAGTAAAGAGACTATAAGTCAATTTAGATAAATCTTAATTTGTTTTCATGGGAGGGTGGTAGTGTGAAAGTTAAACGCTTACTGTCAGTTAAAGATTATATTGAAGGGGGATTAAAAATGACAGAAATTGATGCATACATTGAGGCTATCAAAATAAATTGGGTCAAAAGTTTAACTGATATAACTTGTGCCGATTCGGAAATCATACCAACTTACTTAGTTTTACGGACGCCATCACGAGATGGTTGACTGTTATGGAATATTCGTTTTACAGATGATAACGGATATGTTCCTAATGTCGTAACTACAATCCCGTACCCTTTTTTCGAATGTGACCTACCGAATTAGACTGATTACTGGGTTCGTAGTAACATGAGCAACACGACGGGTGCCACATGTGGAGCAGGAGCTGCTTACCCTTCCGGATCACCTGAGATCATCCCCAGTTTTTGGTGGGGTTCGTGTTGCTCAGTCTTTAGTTTCCTATGTGTTTTGTGTACTATTGTTTGTCTATTTGTCTTTTTCTTTTTTAGCCATGGCGTTGTCTGTTTATTTTCGACATATGAGTTTGAATGTCCCTCTGGTATCTTTCGCCCATCTTTTATTAGTTCAGGGATAATAATTTGCTATTTAAAACGAATCTTGGTTCTCCTAAATCATAAGAAAGAAATAAAAATTGCCTACTAAATAACTTTTTACCTTGAAATCTTGAAATGTTGTTTTTACAAAGGAGGTGAGAAGACAATAGTACCTGAGGATTATAGAGATATAAGAAAACAAGTTACATGGGGAAATCAATATATAAAGGTTCATAGCAAATGTTTATATTTCAGTCATTGGGTATAAAATAAACATAATGTTTGTTAGTGATTGTAAATGATGAAATTGATGCCAAAGGAGAAATTTCTCATAGAGTATTATATAAACTGAAAAGAAACAAAACTGGATCGCTGGACTGTTTGAAATTATTGCACTGACCGGAGCTTGTATGTCCCTGAAAAGTACAGATATTTATAAAAATATTGATTGTTTTTTTGGTTGCTGCTTAATTCATACCGCGATTTCTTCTCATTTCGATAAGAAAATTATATTACATGAAAATTGAGATTGATGTGTCGTTTAAAAAAGGGAAAGACATTACTGAGCCTTACAATGTAAATATTTTCATTGAGTTACAGTCCCTGAATGATGTACACTTCCCATTCACACCATACATCAATACAACGTCTTCCAGACACCATTCACCATACACCTTAAAATCATACACCATTTTCTATACATTATATATTCCTTATGCATCCTATATTTTTTCCTATGAACAACACACCAGATTGATATCAATGACAAAAGTAGTTAAAAAGATCGATTTGATTTATATTTTACCTTTTTGTTTGCTAATATAAATCTAAAATTATTTTAGATCTATTTGAATGCACAGTTTTTCTTTTTCTTGTCAGATTTAGTTCTTCGTCTTCAGTTGCAAGACATTAAATCATAAACTGAACAAAAACCGACACCAAAACAGCGTAAAGGATCCGGACAGGCAAAAGATACCAAAGGGTTATTAAAACTCATAAGTCAAAAACAAACTGACAATGCCATTGCAAAAAACAAAAAACGAGGATAAAACAAACAACAGTATACAAAACACAACATATAAAACTAAAAACTGAGCAACACGAACCTAATCATAAATCGGGGTATCACAAGTGATCTGGACGGAATAGCAGATCCGGCTCCACATGTGTTACTCCTATAAAATACGTGTATTAGTTATATCAAGTAATAAGGCATCACACAATAGCGGATTAATAATCGAATCTTATCTAATCCTGAGCCATCACCAAATTCGTAAACCATTGGTCATGTAAATTTTCAAACATTAAGATTTGACCGAGGGTGAACACTTCTTTGTTAATATTTCTTTGTTTCATGCATTATAAGTGTTAACAAAATCTACCTGCCAATTAACTATGTTGTTTTGACCAGTACACGTAAACTAAATCATCATCACAAACAGTCTGGCGTTTGCTTGTTTTCCGAAACAAAATGTCAATGATAGCAATGTTTTGAACACTGCAATTCGATCTTAACATTTTTAAAAGGTTTCGTGAAAACATGAAGCAATGTCAGACCTTTTTACAAAAAAAAGTAAAATTTCTGCTGTTTAATTATCGTTAGATACACGATTGCATTCGGTCAATCAACATGGTCTGCTATCGTGTACACAACACTGACAGCAGATCTCGGGATTCGCAGACAAGAGTACGGATTGAACGTCAAGTATCTATGTTTTCCTCAAAAAGTTTCAACTTTTGTAATGCTCTGAATACTAGAGATAATAGTTGAAGACTGCGTTTAATTGCAATCAAAACTAAAGCTAATGCGTAAAAAGCTCCCAAAACGATATCCTGTTTCTACTCAGTCAGCGTATTTATCTTGGAACAAATCATCAAAGATACCATGCTTATGATTTGGTAAGCAAGATTCGCGTTTCGCCAACATAAGACATCAGTGGTGCTTGAATCAAATGGTTAAAAAAATTAAATCAAGTACGAAGTTAAGGAGCATTAATACCGAAAATTCCTTAAAGTACAAAATACGGCTAAGGCAATATATTCCCGTGGTAGAAAAACCTTGGTGTTTTGAATAATTCAACATCAAACGAAGAAACGCTCAACTTGGATCATTGATATTATTGGTTGTTAGTTATATCAAAATTCATATTTAAAAGCCTTTTGGCCTACTGTATTATCAGTACGTTGAATAAAAAAAAGGTACTGTTTACAGGAGAAAATGCGTAAACACTTATCTTATTGTTTTTCTGGAAAATATTCATCGAATCTGTGTTACATATAGTCCGTAGTTCAGTGTGTATTTTTCCTTTATATGATTTTCATTTACTGTGGATTTATCATTATTCGTTGGATACCAATTTTTGTGGATTTCGTGGGTACAGGTGAACCACGAAATTACATGTTCAACGAATGACAAATTTTCTATAGGCCATTATGCAGACTTCGGCAAAACCACGAAATTAAATATCCACGAACATGTAAGTTTTCCTTGATCCACGAAAATTGGTTCCCGCGAAAATAAATGAATCCACATTATGTTTTAACATTCATTCAGGTAATATTTATAAATGAATGTAAACTTATTGATAATTGAAAAGAGGATTAAAACTGTCATTACAATATGCATGGTTATGTGTCTGTCCAAAGTAAGTAAACACGTAATGATAAGTAAACGAAACTTTAAGATTATATATTAAAAATTCGATCTGAAAGCCTTGTTAATATGGTATAAGTATTTATAAGGTGTTGACAAAAAGAATATTACCTTGTGCAATAAATGTATCGACAGACTGTAGGACCGTGAAGGTATATATGTTTATAAAAATGATATTTAGTTTGGTTTTAATTTACTGATAGTTTATACCGCTGAAAAAAACATCCAAAGATTTAATTACGCATGTTACATTATTGAATAATAACCTTCAAGAATAAGTTTATTTAAAAGGGTATTAGCTGTCAAAATCATGTTCACCGATTTGACTCAAATTCTTATATTTGATTTATAACATACTAAAACGTATATCCAAATTATAAAAAGTCTAAAATAAACAATTTACGATGCATGGGCTCGATAATATGTGTCAGCATTTCATGTGTATATTAGTCTAGACGCCATCTACTTAATCGTCGAGGTGACCTCCGAAGACTGCCGACGGCCATATAACCCGATATAAACATAAACATGGATATAGATAGATTGTGAACTCGTGCAATTGGATTTTTCTAGGTCTGTTTGATTTTATAATATAGGTTTAAAATATACGTTAATCATCGTTTTTACCTGTATAAGAAAGAGTTTTTACGGATCGAATCAGTAATTCAAATGGTTTACCCTTGTTTCACTTTCAATGTTGACATTCTTTTCCTTTTAATAACTGAACACGCCTAATTCATGCGTAACCCATCTCTAGCTAAGGGTTGAATTGAAGGTCACATGAATACGGATTCAATGAGGTCGGATTATTCACTTGCAAGTGAATGATTCATCAGCGATGTTTCGTATCGTATTTTGACAAAATTGAATCAAACTGGCTGCTAAAAGTTAATTATTATTTCACTATTTCACTTTCATTAATGAATGAAGCAAAATAATCATTTTTTTATATCTCGTAGCTAATGCCCCTTTAAAGAATCAACAAGTTTACTCAAATTGTATTTAAATTAACGGGTTCGGTAAACAACAGTACCGTAAAAATTATAATGCTATTCTGTTTGCAAGTAGTTTACTACAGGTACAGTAAAACGTCCAAACCAGAGATTTGTATCTATGAAAGAATTAAGTGAAGGTAATAAGTCGTTTGTGCTAAAGAGACCCTTACTGAATAATTTACCAATAAAACATAGATTATGTTTATAGCGTCCGTAATGTCACCACAGAACGGACATAGCAAACGAGTTGGGATATATAAATACCGTAAGATGTTGCCAAAGAATCATCACCGTACAAAAAAGGAAAATTAAAAATAGTGGACGAAAAATTGTAACTTTTTGTGTAGAGTAAAACTGAACCATATAAATATACGAAATGACAGTTATTGCTGTTCATATTTGATTTCTTCAAAATAATTTCCTTTCAGTAAATTTCGGCAGTATATTTAGATAATTCTTGATTATTTAACGAAATAAAAAAATGTCACCAAGATAACTGAAAGTGTTTTTAAACTTATCGATGAAATAAGTTTGGCAATAAATTGTGATTGATAACAGTACAGATACAAGTCTGCAATTAAAGGGGCGCAAGTGGTGCCTTTCAGAATAACTACAATCTTTAGATAAATTTTATTGCCGAAACGTACATGAATAAAGGCAACAGTAGTATACCGCTGTTCGAAATTCATGAATCGATTGAGAAAAAAACAAATCCAGGTTACAAACTAAAACTGAGGGAAACACATCAAATATAAGAGGGAACTACGACACAACATTAAAATGTAACACACACAGAAACGAACTATAATATAACAATGGCCATAAATGTTGTCAAGAAGAAAATTTACAGCTTTAAGCATTTGGTTGTTTTGATTTACTTAAAAAAAAACAATTGCCGTGTTAAACCGTGTCTGCACTTGTGTCGCTGTAGGCAATTGATTGAGGTAACATGTACACTGGAGCATGACTGATAAAACAAAATCTCCTCGCACAATAAGTGTTACATTTTAAACTATTGGCAAACAGGAGGCGGCTGCACAGATAATGTAAAAATTGATTACACGCTACATCTTAATATTACCAAGCTGAAGACCATGCAAATATAAAACCACCCCCTTCCATAGAAGCAATGAAAAAATATAAAAGAACATTTAACTTGTACAATAAGTCTTTGTAACAAACAATCGACAAAAACATGAAGAATTCTAAAATCGCTTACACGCTACAACTTAACATTATCAAACTACGTGTTGCTCAGTCTTTAGTGTGTTTTGGTTACTGTTTTTTGTCTTTTGGTCTTATTTTGTTTTGTTTTTTGTTTTTGATTTTTGCCATGGCGTTTCTCAGTTTGTTTCCGGCTTATGAGTGTGAATGTCCCTTCGTTAACTTTCGTGTCTCTTCTGCAGACCAAATATGAATTAGTTTCCTTTCATAAAAGCCAAAAAAACTTTGACAAAAGTTGTCTACCCAAGGTCTTTCAGACGGACGGACTGACGGCATGACGGAATCGTGCATTTACTAGACTTGTTTCTTCGTTGGCAACCAACGCAGGTATATCTAGTTGAGATATTTACTGAGATATTGGTCAGTATCGCGTAAACGCATCATTGAGCACAGCTACCATTTTTGTTTATTATATATAATGACTGATGATCAATCAAAACGCAATACACCTGATACAAGGAAATAATGTAAATAAAACTTATCATGCTATACAGATTAAAGCAAAGGGAAATGTGTCATAATTAAGTTTCAATTTGATCAATCAACGCTTATCAAACAATATGTGTTTCATCATATTCATGGATCTGGTACAAAAACCCATACTTTCGTTCCACCAGTATATGATTGCAACTCCCCTTCCATACGTGTTCCCAATTTTAAAACAATTTACAGCAAATCGAATCGTAGTCACACCAATAAGCATCCAATCTGAACTCACTCATAAATTTGTCTATATCGACTGAACTAAAACATGTAAAAGCTTCGCACCGTTATGTGAATAGATAAAAAACAAAAAACGTTTGTTAAGAGCGATTATGTTATTCCTGTTTGCTCACAAGTATCTGCGAAGTGCAAGGTTTACTGATATAGAAGATGTTCAGGGGTCAAAGTCAATATTATTGTATTGCCTACAGTGAAATTTGACAAATTAACCAATAAACTGTTAACACAGAGATATGTCTCGCCTATTTGTTATTTTGATAATGCAAATGTTGAAATTGAAATAGCAATACTTTATTAATATGTAATTTATGCAAATATTCAAAGTCAATGAACAATGACTGAAGGTACAGGGCTTAACAATCTCCATGGAAATGAGATGTGCCAATACTTATACAACCAAATACTACTGAAATCTCGTTCCCTTTAAACAAACACAGACATTAACTTGTAAACTATGTAAAAGTTTCAAAGTCAATGAACCATAATGAGGGTGTGGGGTTATATAATCTCCATGGAAATGAGATATGCCAATGCTTATACAACTGCATACTAAATATCATTGACCTACCACTGGTGGTTCCCCATAAACTGACCTAATAACAAACTAATAAATGTAAACTAAGCAAAGTTTAAATGTCAATAGACCATGACTAAGGGGGCGGGGCCAAATAATCTCCGTGGTAATGAGATGTGCCAATGTTAATACAACTGCATACCAAATATCATTGACCTACCACTGGTGGTTCCCCATAAACTGACCTAATAACAAACTAATAAATGTAAACTAAGCAAAGTTTAAATGTCAATAGACCATGACTAAGGGGGCGGGGCCAAATAGTCTCCGTGGTAATGAGATGTGCCAATGTTAATACAACTGCATACCAAATATCATTGACCTACCACTAGTGGTTCACCATAAACTAGACCTAATCACAAACTAATACATTGTTGACGATTCCGTCGACGCCGGAAACTGCATACCTATGTCTCGCTGTTTTACTCCGTCAAGGCGAGACAAAAACTGTACAACTAAAATAAAAATTCGAAAAAACAATCCGGTTTATACAATACAAATTGCATATTGTTTTCAGGTAATGAACTAAGATACGTGTTTCAAATCGCTGAGTATGAATTAAAGGGGCATTAGCTGTCAAATTCATGTTCACCGATTTGTCTCAAACTCTCATATTTGATTATAGCATACTAAAACGTATATCGAAATTACAAAAAGTCTAAAATAAACAATTAACAATGCATGGACTCGATAATATGTATCAACATTTTGTGTGTATTTTTTGTCTAGACGTCATCTAATAAAACATCGAGATGACCTCCGAAGATTAGTAGAATGGTTCTATAACCCGATATAAACATAAATATACATCTAAAAAGGTAGCGACCACGTGCACTTGGATTTTTCTGGGTCTGTTTGATTTTATGTCGTAGGTCAGAAAGTATGTTTATCATCGTTTTTGTACCTGTATGATTATGACTTTTTGTGGATCGAATCAGTCAACCAAATGGTTCATCTTTGTTTCACTTTCAATGCTGACATTTTTTTCCTTTGAATACATGAATACATGCGTAAACCATCTCCAGCTAAAGGGTTCAATTGAAGGTCACATGAATACGAATTCAATGAGGTCGAATTATTCACTTGCAAGTGAATAGTTCATCAGTGATGTTTCTTGTCTTATTTTGACAAAATTTAACAGAATTGGCTGCTAAAAGCGAATTATTATTTCACTATATCACTTTCATTAACTATTGAACAAAATAAATCTTTTTTTTTCATATATCACGTAGCTAATGCCCCTTTAATGTTCCTCCTACAGCCAAAACAAAATACAAGAAGTTTTACACACACTCTAGTGAAAAGTGGGGGAAAATGCTCATTTGTTCCAAATTTCATTTGGAAATATATAAATGTAAAGAGAAACAAAGAATTAAATTTCAGAAAGTATTTATTCTAAGTAAAACAAAATCTCATTCAAAAATCTAAAGTATATATGCACAATAAGATAATAATGAAAGGAAATCATAAAAGAGTTAATAAAATATATAACATACTGCAATAGCTTAGCCTAGGAAGGGGTCAAAATATAAAAAGTGTTAGTGTTGCACATGCAACACAATATGTGAGAAATCCAAAAACACTGACAAATCAACTAAAACAATATAACAGAACAAATATGTACAAATAGTTTGAATAAACCACTTTTAATATTTTAATTGCCGGTAAATGTTTTAAAATCCTAAATAAAAATATTGTTAACCACGATATCGGTAGCTTTTATCAGTAAGATTCTGTATTCATAACGTTTTTTTCAAAAACTAGCAAATGGCCACAAAGCAAATAAAGCAAATAAAGCTTAAACGCAAGGAATAGCTTCTCATTTAAGAAATTAATTCGATTAAAACTACTTGTTTTAAGATATTTGAGTTATAAAACATTAGCTGCGTCTAATAAAAATCGACCTTAAACAAGTGCACGTACATTGGTTAGATGTATATTCATAACGTATGGAACGTTCAAATACGAAATAAAAGATGAATTTGGGTTTGTTTTGTAAGTTTCTTTTATAAACTCAGTTAATTGATATTCATATTCAAAAGGTCGATTTCCATCCGCAGCAGCTCACATGTCTTAAAACCTTTCAATATGACTTTTAAATGCAAAAGATAGCCTAGATCAAATTCAAAAAGTTTCAATTTCATTATTTTACTTACATATGTCTTCTGAATACATGTAAGACTCGTAGGGCTAGTTTAATATACATTATATTATAACTATATCAATTCCACATATCTGTGAAATCACATTTCGTGATTATCCATAATTTTAAAATATTTGAACACAATTTTATTCATAGTTGCGTTTGATATTTTGAATGTATATGTACTCTCAGAAAAAGTGATTACATGCTAAGTTGTAACTGTTTCATGACACAGCTTTTTAATATATTAAATGACAATAAGGTGCATTAATTTTAAAAGCAGAAACTAATTTAAGAGTTTTTTTGTAGAATGCTATACTATTTTTCGAATTTTTTTTTAAAAAGAGTCACAATTAGAATTTTGTATTTTTCTGCGTCTTTAGATTGATGTTTCATTGACATATATCTCTCATTTGCATTAACACGTGTTTATTTGTATTTCAGTGGTCTTTTCATAACAGTATATAAATCAAGAGATCAAAATCTTAGATAAAATGGTCAAAAACGATTAGGATAGCTGAAAAGTAAGATAACAAAAATATCGAACTCCGAGGAAAATTCTAAACGGAAAGTCCCTTAGCAAATAGCAAAATCAAAAGCTCAAACACAACAAAGAATGGATAACAACTGTAATATTCCTGACTTGGTACAGGCATTTTCCTATGTATAAAATGGTAGATTAAACCTGGTTTTATAGCTAGCTAAACCTCTCACTTGTCTGACAGTCGCATAAAATTACATTATATTGACAACGATGTGTGAACAAAACAAACAGACATAATAGGTAAAAATGTCAAAAATTGGAAAGTAATTAAGAATGTCCAATTTTTGTGTCACTGTCATCAAATTTGTGTTGGACTAAATGTTATGCATATCACACAGTACAAACAAACTCTGAATTTTAACCAAAAAAAAAATATCGTATACATCCTTTAATCTGATATAGGAGCGTTTTAACTTTGCATTTACCATCCCTCATTACGCCTTTAATCTCTGGATTATACATTTGTAGTTGTTTCGTTGGCAATCATACCACATCTCCTTTTCATAGTAACATACAGAAAAAACACTGACTTAAATTGTAGCCAATACTATAAGCAGGTTATATTGAAAGCTGATGAAATAGTTAAAATAGTGTTCGTGAGTATATAAAAATTATTTTATATGACTTTTAATGTATTTATGATTTGTTCATGTTGTTATGTACTTTTGATATATTTCCTTGTATTTACCTGTGAATGAATAAATGTATTATGAACTTTTATTAGGCATAAGCCAAATGAATGAATAGTGTGTATTAATCAATAATCGAACATTATTCTGTTATTTGAAAAACTTAATCTTATTATGTAATTAAAATACCTTTTTTGTAAGATTACTTTATCTGTAGTTATATCAATATCAGTTTTTCAAAAATGTACGATTCATAATGTATTCATCGTTTTTGAAATAAAAATGTCTTATCAAATTAATAATTCATTTACTATATTATATTCTTTGTTTATTGTTGTTTTCACATACCAAAGATTTGAATGTTGAAAAAATACGTTCAACGACTAAAGTTAATGATAATTGATTCGACAATTGCATGATAGATAAATGTATAAGGTGGCTGTCCTATCGAATAATGCGCATATTCATTTATGTGCTTAACTCTGATGATAATGCAATGGCTGATATGGATTCAAGTAGTCCTCAGGTCCTAGTTCTACATACGGATGGAGGTAAGCATCTGGATCCTCGTCATTGGTGTTACAAGAAAGCGTATCGTTTTCGTAAACTGTTGTTAAGTCTATCATGTCTATCGCACTTTGCCTGTGGGTTGTATGTAAACTGTCTTCATTCAAAGATTGTGTCGGACTATTTCTGACGTCGATATTTGTATCAGATGGCGTGGTTTCGTCTTCTTTTCTAATTGTTGGAATGTTTATTTCGTTTATTGGGTTAATTAGTATTCGTGCATCCTGCACTAAGTCACTATTTGTGCTTTCGATTTCCTCGTAATCATTCGTAATTCCGACTTCTGAAAGATTTTGCTTTCTATATTTCGTCTTGTAATATTTCGACAATACACCACCAAGGAAAGTAACGGTGATAATCACAACAATGAATGACGCTATGCATACTATTATGAATTTAAATTCGTTGTCATTACTTTTTGTACAACCTGAAATGAGATAGACATATTGTTATTAATGAGAAATTAATAATATTGTTTTCGGAAAATTAAATACAAAATGTTGAATGCAGCGAATTACAAAATTGAAATCTATATACATGTATACGAACTAGATGTAAACAAATAACCACAATATATGACAAAACATCAAATTAAGAAAGATTTGTGAATAATTATGTAAATGGTATAGAATATATTCACACTGGAGGAAAGTGTAACTTAATCTGTTAGAGCAGTTGTGAGGATTCAGTTTAAGCATCATAGAATTCGAATAAGAACTAAACACTGTTAAAGTGTACACTTCGATAATTCAAATATAGCCAAACACACAAATGAAGCTGTAAGGGGAAAACACCTTGATAGTTGGTGCAAATTTTAAATGTAAATTACTCAAAATAGGTACCAACAACATTTGATAATTTCCGACAATGGCGATCGCATCACAACCTTTACTTTAGATAAAACTCTTGAAATCATTCTTTGTATAAGGAATCAATCTCAACATGCATTTAGTCACGAATTAAAATTCAGTTTACAAAATTATGTTATTATGTTTGTAACTTTGGCAACAGCATCCCAAGACAAATATCGTTTTTTCAACTTAGAAATAAACAACACTTTTTGTGTTACCTTTATTTCGATAACTGACGTTTAAAGTGTTGTAGCCGGATTCATTATATGCTCTGGTATTTTGGAAGGCAGAAACAGGAGAATTCGTTTCCTTGTGGGTTTCCTTTTGTGCATCATAGTCTGTAATTGCTTTAACTGTTGATGGTTTATCTGTAATTATAATAACTAACCGAAAGTACGAATGTTTAATTTGCCTTAATATACAAATGTCGTTCATAATGCTTACACGGTACAATTAATCAAATAGAAAGGGTATTCGAATTACATTTCACATAATCGTCATCACTACCGAAAACAGAAGACATGCATATAAAACCAGTATACTCGAGAAAGGACACACAAAGATATGTCATATCCATCAAAATCTATTAGAATATTTAATGTCTATCGAATGTGGTACAATGTTTATATATGCCTTGATATGATCCGAAGTATTACAGTATTATATAGGCGGAAGATAACATATTAATTGATTGGTTGAAGTCTAAAAAAAAGGTGATCATATTTGTGAGATGAATAGTTTAAATGGATTGTTTGTTTTAATATAGCTTTAAAGCATAAACAAGAATGGACAAAGTATATATAGCTCTTGATAAAAATATGTCTGTTATTCGGTTTGCAGTGAAATTCATGCAGCCTGTTTAGATTTATATTTTCTTAAATCTGAAAACTCGGAAATGTATTGAAACCGATGTGTAACGGAAATTCCTGTAATTTTTTTTATGTTTGGTCATTGTTGATTTGGCATGGATCGAAGCAGGAAGTTCGCATTTGAAATTGACGGGAAAATGACAGAAATAATTTAACTATTGGTTTTTGGAATCATAATTATGACTAAATTCTATACAAACTTTGGTATCTTTTAAAAACATTTTGCATTTTACGTTTAAAATAATTCCAAGCCACAGTCCCATGGTACATAACAAAATTTCGGTTTCAAGGTCAAGACATTTATCATCACAAATACCTCAGCGAGCTTAAGAATTTAAGATAATATCACCATAGTGCGGTGATTCAAACGGAAATAACAGATTTTTTGATGTCGAGACAGACATTATCAGACATTCTATGAGACAGTTTTTCGTTTCAGGTAAATTCTATTTGGGCTGTTATGCCTACGATACTGTTAATAATTATCATTTTTTTAACCAAAGATATTTCGTAATTATATATTGTGTTATAATACAAAAAAAGGGATGTGGGGTAACTATCCATGACACAAAATTAATATATGCTCAGCAAAAAAAAAACACAAAAGGCAAAGGAAGAGTGCTCCTATTGCTGTTCTTTATCTGAAAATCACCACATGATTACTCATTTGTGTTTTTTTAATATCAAAAAGTTACCAAGGGGACATTCAAACTCATAAATCGAAGAGAAAACTGATATGTCTTATTTTTCCCGTTATTTTCAATATTCTGAATGTGCTTTAATACTTGCAACTAGATATTAAGCATCTTAATCAATCTTTCACTTAAATATTGCAGAAAATTAGAAGGAAAAGGCTATATAATGAATCTTGCAATAGACAATACAGAAAAAATCTTTATTACACTAATTTGGTATCAGGTTGCTGTAATGCTTTATGAGTTTGAAGCCAAAATGATAATCTAAAATAATCCATACACAGTAATCATTGAAATTAACATGATTTATTAAAAAAGGAGATTTGAATTAATTGCCAATGATATAACCATTCAAATGAGTTCAAATAACGTTGACTTAAGCAATTTAGCAAATCCTATATCGTAAAGGCAAAACGTGTATCAGTTCAAACAAAAAACCAACGGCCTGATTTATGACAAAACAACAAATAAAACACATATATAGCAGACATCAACTACAACCAACAACAACACCACCTAAATAACAGGTTCCAGACTTTGAGCAGGCATAAGGAATTTGGGGAGGTAAATCATGTTTGTGAGCACTCTACCCTTCCATAACCTAGAACAGTTGTGTAACAGCACAACGAAAGGACAAATTGTTAACACCAGTTGGAAATTGCTTGACTCATCATACTGGAAGGAAACACAAAACAAAAAACACAACTAATATAAAGACAAAACACGCAAAGTACCAACCTAAGAGCACTCTTAGATAATAACTGATAAAAAGAGATGTTATCCCATACGAAGTTAACAATGAGATCACTTTCAGCTGATTGAGTATAACGACGTCATTAGTATTCCGAAAAGAGCATGACCTTGAGCAATGCCAAAATATAAGAAATACTATCGACAGGATTTATCTTTATAAATGGAGACAACGCATTATCTTTGATCTATTTCATATAGAAAGTATAAATGTTATAGGTTGCTTTCAGGCGAAACAGACATTTAACTGAATCAACCTTACCTAAAAGTTTACCCCTATTCAAACCTCAACCACATTTCATTTTGATATACTTAAGAATTGACCTTACCCATTTGAAATGTAAATGAAATAACATTCAAAATGTTACAGTTATCTTACCTTTTATAATCAGCAATACGTCAAACTCCATTGGTATACTGTGTAATGCTCTACATCTGTAATTTCCTTGATTCGCGTACGATACATTGTAAATTTCTAGGTTATATTCTCCCTCACTATTATTTCCAACTATGAAAATATTTTTGCTGCTCAGTAAAGGGTTAATTTGGTCATCTTCACTGTAAGGAAAGTAGTCTTGAGGACCGTGCCATGTTACTGAATTTTTGGACCTCTCTGGACAAGATAGTGTGACAGTATCACCCACAACTGCAATATACGTTGTAACTGGTCTTGAATCTGTTGAAATTAATAACAAAGCTAAATCAATAAATGTGCCCTTCGAACACAATGAAGTCAACTCAAAAGCTCTGTTATTTCCTTTGTAAGCCATTGATATAAACACATGTGGTGCAATACATTTTTCCTTTCCAAAATAAAAAAACATGAATACAGCGTAGATTAAATTCTAAAAATGCAGAAATTTACTTGATTTTTAAAAGTTAGATCGCAACACCAGTCTTGAAAGTTCCATTTTGAAAGAATCAATAAGAGGACAATAACTAAATGGTTGCACTTCTGTTAATAAAAAGACAATGCAACTTCCAATAGGAACTGCTTTTACGGATAAAACAGCGCCGATTTTCCTATGAAGTTTCTTAAAACTTTTATCCAACTTCTACGAGTTTAGACTTATACTAAAATTCTGTACTACCACCCCGACCCCCGTTTTTCACTCTGAATCTTCCTCAGAATTCAATTTTGCCGCTATCCGTGCGTATTTATACAGGTAACATTTTCAATGTGTGTTTCTACTCTACGAGATGACGCATAAAGATCATATCCGGGAACAAGTAGTCTAACCAATTGAAAAAATCCATGAATATGAGATTTCTCCCCAAAAGAGGCGTGATTTGTGAAACAGTTGTATTTACAAAGTGCAACCTACTAGTAACCCAAAAGAAATCTGTATTTTAATAAATCAGTGAATATATTTAAAACGTAAAGCCGTTTCATAACTATAAAACAGAAAAATCAATAAAAAAAACCTTATTGGTTGGTTTGTTTTTGTCCAATAACATTATTCAGAACTGTGGGGTCACTATAATAGTGAACTTTCAGTCCATGAGGGCCAAACATCTATTTTGGTAGTGCTACCCTACTGGCATGCTTAAAATTAAACATTTAATGTTAAATTCCTGTTATACATGGAATATGTAATCGTATTATATAACAATCACGGAGGCAATTGGTACCAAGTGGAAGACAATTGTAACTTCAAGCCATTCTCCAGGAAAACTCTATGGTTACCTCTATGTAGATAATTAATTTTCTATTATATAATACTAATACTGTATACTGGGCTGGTGAAACCCTTGATGACTTGATTTTCATCAAGCTGAGGCACCGACCCAATGGAAGTAATATACCAAACGGACTGCACTAGATGCACATATAAAATTAATGTATCTATACTTGGAGTTCTGCATTTTTGACATTTTACTTTTTAGTGGTGGTCGAGGCCAAAATGCTAAAAAACACCTATTAAAACAATTAAGAACTTACAAACCAAAAAAGGACAAAAGATATAGCAAAAGACGGGCAAGAAATCAGCTTTGCGTGAGGGATATTTTTCTCATACAAGTGAGAGGTTTAGCTAGCTATAAAACCAGGTTTAATCCACCATTTTCTATATAAGAAGTCAGGAATATGACAGTTGTTATCCATTCATTTGATGTGCTGGATCTTTAGACTTTGCCATTTGATTAGGGACTTTCCGTTTTGAATCTTCCTCGGAGTTCGGTATTTTTGTGATTTTACTTTTTTGTTCCATTTAAACAATTACCAAATAATTGTTGTACTGCAAATATTTATAACATAATATCCGTATTTTTATGCATATGCCGAGTTACATCTGCTAGGCTGGTGATACCAACAAAAATATAAAAAAAACTCATTAAAAATAACGACCTGATTTAATGTGCGAAGTACATGTACTTGGATTTGATTTAAGATTGCAATGAAATCAAATTACCTATTATCCGTTTGATTTCAGTAGAGTATATGCTTTTCTTTATTAGATCTAATCGGTACATCGGTGTAACCGCGTTATATAATTTGTTCACCTATAGATAAAGACTAAGATTCAAAGAACAAAATTATTAATTACTAGTTATCTAATATGGCTTACCGGTATTTTCCAAAAATTGTAAAATCAGTATCAAGGATGTTAATAGTTTCATGATTGTTTTATGTTCTGATCCTGTTAAAACAAATATAGCATTTTTAATCATTTGAAAATGTCAAGGCGATATCAAATATAAGTCAAATAAATATACGCTATAAATAACATTACAATATTAATTGTTTGATATTAATAGGTATAATTATTTCCTACTTTAAATGATTAGTAATATCATTCCTATGTATGTTTTGTTAATTGTAAATAGCTTCACTTCTACATGTTTTATAAATGTTGCTTGTTTTAAATTTGAGAATGTGGATTTCTTATTATAATTAATAATTTTTATGTGCAAGGAATATTGTTTATTATAGAAGTCTTCAAAAAAGCTATTTATAAGGGAGCCTTGAAAATTTTCGGGTATGGACAGGGGTGTCCAATATTTAATTACTTCAGATGGAGGAGGTTTCGAAAAAATTTGGCGACCCACGCCCACCTCTTCCAAATACAATTTAGAAAATCTAAGATTCAATTGCTAAGTTTCAACATCTTCTTCCAATGATGTATTTTTATCTCAAGTTAATTTACCAACTTCTTTAATGAACAAAGTGCGAAAATTGAATGAAGGTAATGTCAATGTGACCATAACAGACATATTTCTTTAGCCCCTTCGGTGTGATAAAATATTTCACAACTTGCTCGCTATACCAGTGTCAGTAGTTTGTTTTAGATTTTAATGAACATAATTTATGTATAGCTTGTAAATTAAAACGCAGGGATTTCTTTACCACAAATTAATTTAAACTTTAATCAAATTCCTTCATATATATAAAGATTTTGTTAGAAAGTTTGGCTGCACCTGTAAAATTATAATGACAAACGAGATATGCCATCCTAAATTTTACGTTGATGTTATTTATAAAGTCCGTCAATTTAGACACATTCTATGTAACCTAATTGATCCTTTGAATAAACTTATTCTTAAAGCCAGGTTATCAATTTAACACAGTAGTTAAAACTTTAAATATTGTTTTATAGGACTACTAACATTGTTTTTTTTTTTTTTTTTTTTTTTTTTTTTTTTTTTTTTTTAAATTAAAGATTAACTAATTACATGTTGCTATATATGTACAGTTTTGATAACGTATGATTCTACATCCTGTAGATACTGTTTACTTATATTTTGGCATTGCACAAGGTCATGTGTTTTTCAGACTGTTTATGACGTCTTTACACTTAATCCGTTGGAAGTGTACTCGTTGATACTTTACTTTGATATCTGAGAAAACACGATTTATTTGTTGTAATTGGCATTGAACTAGCCTTCAGAAACTACGACTACACTTTTTTTCGATGCTTTTTGGCTTTGTTTGAGTGCCTCTAAACGATCTTTTGAGTTGCAAATTGCACCTTAATTTTTCGGTTTGTTCTTAAGTTGTGCATCGACGCTGCTGTCTCAGGTTAAGGGAGAGTTGAGCGCTCACATACTTGTATAACCTTGCCACATTCTGTATGTGCCTGTCCAAAATTAGGAGCCTGTAGTACAGTGATTGTCGTTGGTTCGGATATGTCATACATGTTGTTCTTATCGTTAATTGTTTTGTTTTTAAATCAGGCCTTTGAATTATTTAACATTTTTTATGTCGGCCTTTTATAGCTGACTATACAGTATGAGTTTTTCTCATTGTTGAAGGCCGTACTGTGGCCTGAAATTGCTTAATACCACTTAATTTTAACTCTTTAGAAGGTCGAACGGTGGCCTGTAATTGCTTACTACCACTTCATTTTAACTCGGTTGGATAGTAGACTCATTGACAATTACACCACATATCCTCACTTATATATATATATATATATCTAATAAAGTTCCCTGAAGCTACAAACCACTTCTCTCACTTTCAGCTTTAGATCCCATACTGCTACAATATTTTATTGGACGATAATGATATAAGAAGAAATTGTATGCATTTATTTTTGTTGTAAAGAATAAAAGTATCGAGACATTTATTTTTTGTTTCTTTTTTTTGGGGGGAGGGGGAAATTTTGATATCTTTGAAAGAGAGGATCTTGAATTTATTTCCCTTCTTCAAGGTAGGGACATGAAAAAAATCAGAGATATCCAACTATTTCTTCCCCCAGCCCTCCACCCCAATGAAAGAAAATGATCAGTCCCTAATATAAGGATTTTTTTTTTGAGAAAAAATATTTTTAAGGCGATCACGATTGAACTTGTAGACCTTGTACAAATCATGTCTGAAACAACGAAAACTTTTCTCAAGTTACTCTACATATTTTGTCGTTATTTTGGTTTTAGTTGTTTTGTGTTTTTACTGTAAACATACATGATAAATACTTACGATTTAATTATTTCAAAATACTCATAGCAAATTTGACAAAAAAAATAATAAATGTGTATATTACAAGAAAATAAAACATGTCATAAAAAGATAAATCTCACACAACTACATAGGCATGTGAAAATTATGCTTCCCGTGGTATCAAGTAAATTATAATCAGACCAGAAAAGGCTCCCGCTATACTGCTTTAGAAATGATTTTTTATTTTTATTTTTAACAGTAAACATACAGTTAATATCTTGTTTATACATAGTAGACGTTGTCTTTGTCTATTTTGGCAAAATGACAAAACTGTGAATTCGTCAAGAATGATCTGGAGTGGAACAAAATAATTCATTTGTTATTGAAAAAATTTCTAAATGCAAAAAGGAATATGTATTTAAAACTTATTTATTGGATTTTAAATAAAAACACGTAAAATACTACATTCATATGTGTACTCTTATTCTAATAATTAAAAGGCGGCCGATGTATTACTTTCCTATGAGAGAAACAATTATATACAGTATATAATCTTAAGATGAAATATGGATACGATTTCTGAAAGACTGGGGTCATGTATCATTATCTTACAAAAATATTGTATCTTGTAATCTAATAGCAAAGTTAAATTGAACAATAGCCTTTTGGTAAACTAAAGATTTAATGTTTTTAAACATTCAATTATAAATGTACACTTATAGTCAGTCACGTTTTATTTATATATAGAAATTACTTCCTTTCTTGGTGTTATTTGAGTAAAATTTTGTATTTTTTATTCAAATATTTCAAGTACTAGTTCTCTATAAAGATAATTATTTGAAAGTCACTTTTGAGCAGTTGTTAAATTGCAAAATAATCGAGCTTCTTTTCATATTTAAGCTTCATTACATTTACTCTCCTTTCGATATGAAAGTATCAACAAGATAGTCATTTGTATGTATACAGCATATTATTGTTTTTCAAAGGTTCCAAAAAAGAAATCAAACAAAAAATGACATAAAAGAGAAGATCGAATGGAATTGATACTTCTAAAAAATATGAATGAAAAGTTGTTAACAAATTGCCAAACGGTGAGTTGCTGATTTAAAAATTTCTATAACGTACCTAAAATGTTGCATTGTTGTAACAAATATTTGTCATCTATTTACCTGCGTCAATCATGAGTTGTCTTCAGGTGTGCATAAAATTAAAAAAGGGCGGTACGGTAAAAGCATTGCATTCTAGTTACCAAAATCATCTCCATTTCAATTTGAACTCTTCTGTGTTTTGCTATTATCTTCGAAACTACATTTGAAAAAAAGCTCAGAAGACCTTACTTTCAAATGGTATTTGAAATGTACTTCTAACGAATAATAACATAATGTTTTAAAACAGGGATATACATTTCCAGTGTTTTTTTTTATAGACAAAATAACAAGGCTATGGAATTTTGAGTAAATCTCATCATAAGATACCAGGCTTCTGATGTGTAAAATAGGTTAATAATCATGATATTTGAACAACTCTTATGCAACACACAATCCGAGTAAATCAGATTTCAGCCGAAAAAAAATACCAATAAAATCGACTGATATACAGCGAAGATAAGAAACCTTTGAAAATGTTCAGGCGAATGTATATAGACTCTATTAGGACATAAACATTTAATGCAAATAAATTGAAGGATATAATAGTTTATGAAAATAAAAAAGCATGTTTTTAACCGAAAAATTATGCCTTGAAATAACAGTTCTTGATAATTGAATTTTTAGAATTGGTCGTTATGTTTACAAAAAATGAAAACACGTTATAAATTTCATGTGTCCGAAAATGGATTTACCTTCTGCAGGAATCCTACTAGCCGAATATTTGAATGCCAAGGATGTATAAGATTCGAAACCGTTGAAAAGCAATATAACCAAAAAAATACACAAATAGCCAAATCCATCTAGGGTCAACTTTGCCTTAGGTAGTTTCTTTTTAATTTCAAAATTTCTAAACGGACAATTTTACTATCAGAAACACTCTGGAAAATAATGTTATGGAAAAATATTCTCTGCGTATATAAGTATATATGTTAGATTTTATTTTCAGTGCACACCAAAAAATCATATTTAAAAGCAGTCTGTAAAAATGGAAGAAGTTACAAAGAAGATAAACACAAACTTACAGTCAAGACAAAGTCAGTTCAAAAACACCGAAAAACTTATGATTGAGCAAATCGAAACCAATCATAAATCGGGGGCGAAACCATAGTTTATACAAAGTCCTCCGAAATGGCCCTGATTATTTTTAACTGTAATTTGTTCCATGTTTGACTAGAGTACTGATTCTGGATTGTAGATATACTAAAGGTCCATTCATGATTTTTTGTAATGTTGTATTTAATATTTAAGTGTCTTGTTTATACTATACATATTTCTCCTTTGGTCAGTGGATGTGTGTTTTGTAATAATGAAAAGTATATAACGCCTGAGTAAACATCAAGAAAAACAGTTACCTCCTTGCAAAAATCTTTTGACTTGACATTAAAAACCTGTCTGAGTAAGTCTAACTTGCTGAAATATGTACCCAATGAACAAAATCCTCAGAGTCACACAAAATGAGTTCTTAAGACAATTAATTTAAGCAACATTTTAATTATCCTGATTTGCTTCAGAACTCTCCATTTGAACTCATGATATGTAAATTGAGCATTTAGTACTCATATCAACAAATTGAATATAATCAACATAATTAAAAATCCTGCTCTATCCCATTATAAATAAACTTCTGTGTAAATACATGTATTGCGTAGCAGTGCCAGTTGAATCCAAGTTTGAATAAAACATAAATCATAAATGAATTATAACTTTTATTATTTTATATTCATCACTTAATTTTGGCCCTTAGGGAATCTACTCAGCTAAAATTAAAATTTTTGCTCCATGCCTAACCCAAGAGCCTGTGTGCGTACTGAAAAGTAGCAAAGTAAAGACCCCTGGCTTGACATCACACCAATCCAATTGGAACTATGGTTCCAAATAAATGCGTGAGGCTATCAGGAAGCATATTAGGCTATCAGGAAGCCTATGAGGCTATCAGAAAGTCTATGAGGCTAAGTCTGAGGAAGCCTATGAGGCTATGAGGAAGCCTATAATGATGCTATGAGGAAGCCTAGTATGTAGCTATGAGGAAGCTCAGTAGTGATGATGTCGAATCGGTGTTGGAATGAATTTGAATGAAATTTGACAGTTTATCCCCAGATATTCTTGGGGGATGAGTGAAATTTTTGAAACAGCCAGTGATAAGATTTCATAAATGTCCATAACACAGATGATAACAGCTGAGTGTCCCCAAGGATTGTGATGTAAGGGAGGGGATACCTTCAATAAAGACATGAGAACAAAAATTAAATACACACAAAACATAAAAAAAGCTAAGAATAATAACATAATGTCAACACATAAAAAACAAACTTTAGTCACAGAACAATACTGAAACTACTTATAAAACATTCCTGCATATTTCTTCAAATTTTTATATATATGAAGAACTTGAGAAATAACGTTTTCTTAAAGCTACCTAACCTACTTTGAAAAGATTTTATAGATACTAGTGTTTCTAAATACATCTACTGTAAATATCAGAAGACCAGCTTGATCTTCTCTTTGTCTTTCCAGCTCTAGAAGCTGTCCCTATTCTAAAGCTATGATCTGAGTAACATATAAGTAAATATTGTCTTTCTAAAATTTCTTAGCAATGGTTAAGAAAAGTGGGTCAGTTGGATGGATAGGAGTTAATTCCTACATTACTGTATAAATTCTAATAAAATCTTGTATTGGCAGATAAGTATTAATTTGATTAAGCCCTTATTTAAGTAGCTGGAACATTTGTAGGTAAATACAGTTCATAAACATGGATGGAAATATCTCTGCATGGTCACACCAAACATATGGATCTGATGCTGTTAAAATCGGCTATATCAAATATAATTTACTCTCTAAAAAAGTTGCAGTTCATATTGGTCGTCCAAAATTCAGATAACATTAAAAATGTAAAATTATGCACAACACAAATATTGCCAACATTAAATATTCAGCTTCGTAGGGGTAATTCATTATCCCAAAGTGAAAAAGTTTAGAAGTAATATATACAAAATATGTTACTGCTTCATTACTATCCTATATAAAATTGCTTTAACACTAGATTTGACATTTGATAAGTTGTCCTAATTTCTTTTTTGTCTTTCAGCTTGTAATATTCCAGTTTTATGGATTATTATAGTCCAATGGTTCTCATAAGGAGAAATCCTTATTACTCCTCCTACACACACCTTTCCATTTGCCAGATATTTTGATATCAGTTATTCCAAAATAAATGTGTATTTAGTTTGAATCAAAATTAAATAGTTCAAAAATCTGTATAACCTGCTTTGGAAAAGCACTGAAACATTAAGAAGTTTTTATCTAAGCCACTTTTTGAGCAAAAATTATTCTTTTAACTGCTTAATCTGCATTGAAAAAACTGGACACTAAAGGCAGCATGTACTGTTTTTCAATATACAACTACTTAATGGGATATTTCTTCATGGGAGGAGCTAAACTACACCCAAGTTTATGTGCAAACAAACAAAGGATAAAGGAAAGCCAGCTGCCACAAGTGGTTACTAATTAACAAAACATGTATATTTGTAATGGAACTGATGTAATTAAACCCCCTGCTAAGAACACCTGATAAACTTACATGTAGCTGATTAAGATATGATAGTAAATCTGTTTCTTCTCATTAGTAAAGAAAACAAAAAAAAACTGGGAAGATCCTAAAATAATGACTACTGAGTGTAATGGAAATCAAACTATGTATAAACATAACTTATATAACATATAAGTAACTATTTTTTCTCTTGTTTAATATTGAAAGTAAAATAAATGCACACACAAGTATATTTCAAATAACACTGTTTCGCAGTTGTTTGTGCATTTACAGAATATTTTCGGAATACATAGGAATACCATTTACACTAAGATAATATATATAGATAAAAGCATATACAACATTTCCCATAGTGAATATTAGTAATTTGTCAAAATAGTCAGGTCTATTTATTCGAACTTCATTAACAGTAGTGCGCGCCTCACACATTTGTGTCCTATTACAGATTGTGATATTTTTACTGAGTGTGACTTTGTTTGTTACCTTTTTTCATTTGTCTTCTCAGTCGATTTATAACATTTGAGCGTCGGTAAACTACTGTCTATCTATTTTTCTATAAATAATTCTTTTTTGCCATGTCAAGAGACTAATAAAAAAAAGTCAAATGCTCTGTAAAGACAGAATATTCTACATGTTGCAGCTCTACCTGTTATTTGCGTTATTAACAAAAGTGCTTATAAAAGGTATAACATATTGAACAAAGCTCTGATTCAGGTCCGTTTTTGCTATACTTTAAATCCTTTTTGTTTTATCGGTACTTCAACATTTGAGAAGGTTTTGGATTTTCAAATATTGTGTCCTTGAGCATCACTGAAGAGAGATTAATTGTCGAAATACGCATCTGGTGCAGTAACTTTAGAACCGTTTATGTTTCTATAGACGTTCTAACGTTTCTAAAGGTTTTAAAAGAAATTAAAGTGTATCGTTTAAAGCCTTCTATTCCCCTTGGAACACACTAATTTCTTAAACCATAACTCATGCTTGAATGTCAGAATAAATTTAGCTATTATTTATGTCTTATATGGAAATTTATTTGCTGACTAATTTGTGCCATTTTTTATTCATACAGTTATTTCTATTGATACTGGTGGTTATAGATTTTTCCAATGGTGAGTAGGGGTAATTTGTAGCAATTCGTACAATCCTAGTTTAAGAAATAAGTATATTGATATTTTGCGGAAAATTATTTATATACAGTCAGGCGAGTATATGATGATAACCCTTGAAACAAGAGAAAACTGACCTTATAGAAAGATGATCTTTAAATTAAGGTTCAAAATACATATGTACTACTACAGTGGGACAAAAAGGTGACCTGACAAGACATGTTTTGGCTTAATAGATTGTTTGTTGTTTGCTTAATAGAGGTGACATGACATCCAAAGCAAGTTTGACTGTATAAATAATTAGAGATGTGAAGTTTGTGACTGATAGCAACTCAACAACATATTTATAAAGCAATTACGTTTAAAGAGATAAGCAGATAGTAATAACATTCAACAAAGACTATTATCAAAGATCTTTCGATAACTCAAAGTTCCGTCAAGAACACAAAAAAATATATTAATGATAACGTATGACAACTGCCAACAAGACTTAGCTTACAAAACTCATTAAATTGTTTTATATATTAAGAACAGCTTGCGCGTCCTGTTCTCTTTTGTAATTCCTATTCGTCAGGAAAAGTTTTTTATTTTTGTTATTCTTACAGGATCGGTCTCATGGAGCTTGGAAACTAAACCGGCAATATTTGGAAAAGATATAAAATTACATTGTAATCTTGATGATGATACACCATTCAACAACTCCAGACATTGGAGTAAAGGCGAAAACGTTAGTGTATTGGTGGTAAATGGTAAAACAATAAACAATACAAAATATTCAGAGGAACGAGACAAGTCAAAACGTACTTCCATTTTAACTATAACGTCGTTAGATACTGGTGACGTGAACGTGCCATACACATTCCAACATGGTTTCAAAACGTACAAGAAAGTTTTGAATATGACTGTAGAGAATTTTGAATGCAAGTATTTCTGACTTATATTTTGGGTGTTTTTTGTTTCATTTTATCTATAAGCTTAATTTACAGTTTTCATTTAATATAAAACTTTACGCTTTTAACTCTATATAAATATTGCCCAATCCTTGCATCGTGTTAAGGGGTTGCACTTTGAAAACAGTAACCGTTGGCAAAGATTGTTTCTAATTGTGATTGGAAAATCTTGTTTTTACTGCCATGTCGATTCGATAAATTTTTCCTGGAGCTATGAGACTTTGGAAATGTGCGTCCTATTATTTGTATGATAACAACGTTAAATGAGTATATGACTGGAAGAAACAAATACTTATACATTCCGCCATTGTGTTGTTGTGCTATGGTCAATTTTGAATTATTGTCTTTCAATTTTGTTTATATACTTTATCTATATGCTATTTTGTGTTTCTTTGTTGAAACAGTTCTTTTTTTTTTTTGTATTGATTAAGATTATATTACAATGATAACAGCTGTACCCCAACTTTTGAGGTGTTTACTTATCATATCTGTTTGTTTTGCTCACATATTGCTGTCAGTATGCAGGAATTCAATGCGACTGTCATACAAGTCAGAGGTTTAGCTAACTATAAAACTAGGTTTAATCCACCATTTTCTACATAAGGAAATGCATGTGCCAAGTCAGGAATACGACAGTTGTTTTCCATCAGCTAGATAAGTTTGAGCTTTTGATTTTGCCATTTTATAAATGACTTTACGCTTTGCATTTCAGTATTTTTGTTATTCTACTTTAAAGTATGTTTATTCAATAATAAGTTTACAAACGTTTTTGAAGAAAAAAACATTAAAATGATCTGTAATAAGGTATATTGCGAGTAATGGTAGTATTTGACATATTTTATACTATGTTAAAATTGAGACCAAATCTAGAATCATGCAATGGGAGATACCACACCCGTAGCTAGTGGGGTTCGAGGGGTTTGTACGACCCCTCCCCCCCTTGAAAACAAATAAGCACTGTTAAAGTCGACGTTCTGTTTGAATTGTAACTGTTAAAGTTAGCTTTGCGAGTCCATGTAATCCCCCCCCCCCTTGGAAATTACTGGCTACGGGCCTAGATACCATAACCAATATGAGCCAACAGTCTTCCGGAAGGGTAAAAATCCACTGCAAACTTCCGAAAAGCAATATCGTAAAATTTCCTTAAAAAAAGATAAGAAAGGTAATAGGGGGACATTAAAACTAATTAGTCGGGAGAAACTGATAATGCCAATACAAAAAAAGATAGAAGACGAAAACATTAGCAAGTTCACAAAAAAGCTACATAGAAAACAAAGGACTGAGTAACTCGAACCTCACCAAAAATGGGTTCATCTGAGGTAAATCGGAAAGATAAGCAGATCAAAGTCAACTAGCTGTTCAGTCTTACTCCCGCCTCTCAACCCTCCTCAAGATCCACCACTGATCTGTAATTGTTCACGACTTTTTCCTTTAGTAATAAATGGGTAGTTGTCTCAATGACAATCAGACTACTTTCTTTTTTTTAGATTAGTGATTGTAATTATTTGTTATGCATGTTTATGCATGACCTCTTTAATGATATTTTCAGATCATCCTGACAAAAGCAATACATCTTTCAATCAAGAAGGTGATCATTTGATTTTTGCAATGAAATTTGAAAAAGTGTTTCCAGTTCCCACTTGCAAAGCGTCATATGGGGTATGTAGTTTAGGCATTATGTAATTTATCCTTTCCGAATCATTGCACTATAAGTAAAGCATACTCGTAACTTGTTGACTATGGGCCTGGTGGTTTTTATAGTGTAGAAAATAAGGAACCAAAATATAAAGTAAAGAGAAAAATGGGCAAAAACAATAATGAAAAAAACTCATCATAGATACAAGGCTTATGATTATGTACATGTATGCTAGATTCGCGTTTCGTTTACACAATACTCAACAGTATTGCTCGAATCAAAAGCGAAAAGCGCTTAAATATAAAGAAAAGGAGAATAACGGGGTGCTAAAAAAAATAATAGCGAATAATGTGTTGTTAAAATATAAAGAAAAAAGAGATAATGCGGTTCTAGAATATAAAGAATAGAGAATAAAGGGCAAAAAATAAAGAATATTGAAAAAAAAGGCCAAAAAAATAAAGACTACAGAAATAATGATTTGTACTCCTTTCCAGTAATGATTCTCAACTAACGATATTGTGAAATAAGGACTTAAATTATCATATTTCATGTTGTTTTGTTTGTTTTTTTTTTTTCACTCTTGTGTCCTTTGCAAATGTATTGTTTAGATATCTCAGTTTCCAAACAAACAAGTAACATTTTGACTCTGTTCGAGATCCCTCATAGCCAATACTAATTGTATGACCTTATTATAGGTTTGTCATGTTTCTTGGATAGACGCTCTTTTTTCGATTAGTCTTCACAAAGTTTTCTAATGATCAAAACTTTGAATACATCATGTAACCAATTAGAAATGTAATGTGTAAGAAGCTCAACTGTTTATGAGGTGTCAAACTTTTTAACATGTATCTGTGTCATGTTGCTATCTTATTTTGAGCTGAAACAAAATACGGTCATGTAATTCATCAAACATTTTGTTTTAGATTTTAGATGAGAACATACATATTTAATTCACAGAAAATCAACAACTGTTTTTAAAAAATAATGATTCTCCATATTCATGATATTCATTTCATAGAATCAGAATATTACGAACTTGTTGAACATAAGTTCCGTTCGAAGTGATGTAGTTTACAAAGTTGAAATCAACCTGAAGTATCATCACGTCTCGAAAAAATGTATTCATCATCCATTCGAGCTCGACTGCTACGTCGGAACAAAGACGATAAAACAGCGTTTTGAGACGTCCAACGATGTTTGTCTTGAGATAGTTCCCAAATTAAAAACTGGTTGGTTGTTTTTTTTTGTTTGTTTCTTTTTTTTTTCATTGTGTGAAAAAATAAGATACATATATGCAGAGACATGTGTAGTAGTATATATGTCTCTGATTTATATAAATCAATTAGTTATCAGTACAATATTTTTTGTTTTGCATTCAGTTATAAAGATTATATTGTTACACGTAACATATAAAAAGTTGCATTGTTAATTGATGAAAAATATGAATTGTTTAAAAATCACAATATTTAATATATCTTTTACAAAGCGTGTGTTATTTGTAGTAATTTTGTCTGATGGCAAAATCTACAGAACAAAAGACTTTCATGTCTCATTTATTGTTCATTGTATACGTCAATGCGATAGCAGCAAAACGACACAAATAGACACATATGCATATAACCACACATTGTGGTTATACATTGTAGACAAAACGCGCGTCAGACGCACAAAATTTTAATTCGGGTATCTATGATGAGTTTATTAATGGACAACGAAGTATTATTATTGTTAATTTTCTATATTTAATATATTTTTTATGTTTTAATTTCAGATGAAAAACCAAATGAATCCGAAAAGGATCAGACCCTTGGAACTGTCGGACAAGTAATATTCGGGATAGTGTTTTTATTTTATTGTATTATATTCCCAATAACATTTGCATATATACAGTATAATAATTACTAACTGTTCGCTGATGGTTTAGAAGAAACTGTATATTAAAATGTATATAGATATAAGAAGATGTGGTATGAGTGCCAATGAGACAACTCTCCATCCAAGTCACAATTTGTAAAAGTAAATCATTATAGGTCAAAGTACGGCCTTCAACACCGAACAGCAAGCTATGAAGGACCCCAAAAATGACTAGTGTTAAACCATTGAAAAAGGAAAACCAACGGTATAATCTATATAAAAAAACGAGAAACGAAAAACACTTATGAACCACATCAACAAACGACAACCACTGAACATCAGATTCATGACTTAGGACAGGTGCAATTAAATGCAGTTTTAATAGGCACCAAACTTCACCCTAACCTGAAACAATAGTGTAACATCACAACATAGAAAGACACACTATAAAATATCAATTGAAATGGCTTAAATCAATCAAAAGACATATCAACAAAAACAAGTGAACATACACTGAACGAATAAATTTGATCCATGACACAATGAAAATACAAAATTAATTTAAAAAAAAAGCAGTGAGATGTAAAACAATATCAGAAAGCCAACCATAACCTTGGACACAATGCCGGTAAATAAAATAACGTTCACAGGTCAATAAGAATAATTTTGTTGTAAGGTATACATGGATCTAGTAAGTGTTCTACTACCAATCTATCATTGCTTCTAACTACCTCCCTTACTACTATCAAAGAACTTGTTATTAAGTTTTGTAATAAAGCTTATGAAAATAATGGTATTATGTATTTTTGGAGTGTTAAAAATTCTTTAGAGGTTTCAGATAAAATACATGCTTTTGATGGTCCTTTTAATTCTGTTGACAGTTATGATTTGTCTACTCTTCCACACAATCTTATCAAGAAAAAATTTTCATATTTAATTAAATGGTCTTTTGAAAAATCTCATTGCAAATTTATTTGCTGTAACTCGTTTAAAACCTTTTTTTGTAACGAAAAAGGAAAGTATGCTAGATACACTTACTGGAAATGTAAAGATATGATTGAAGCTTTAAATTTTCTTCTGGTCAACATATATGTACGTTTCGGCGATACAGTGTATAGACATGTATTAGGTATTCATATGGGCACTAACTGCGCCCCTTTAATAGCAGATTTATTTATGTATTGCTATGAATCTCAGTTTATGACCAAACTCAGTAAAGACACGTCATTGTTACATTTGGTTGATACATTCAACAATACCTTCCGTTATCTGGATGATATTATTTTTTTCGTTACATAATCCAGAGGCCTCTAAATATACTACCGAAATTTACACAAAAGAACTTACTTTAACTAAATCTAACATAAACAGCAGTAGTTGTCCTTTTCTAGATTTTGACATTTCAATATCTAAAGGAAAACTCCATACTAAAATTAACGACAAAAGAGACGAATTTTCATTCCCTATTGTTAATCTTCCTTCTGCTCCATCATACGGTGTTTATATATCCCAACTCGTTCGTTATGACCGTGTGTGTAGTGATGTCATAGATTTTAACGAACGTAATCAATGCATCACTGGTAAATTATTAAGTCAGGGATTTCGTTACCATAAATTACGTAAAACTTTTATTAAATTCATTCATAGATGCAAAGCCTTGATTAGTAAATTTGGCTGTACCTGTAGAAAACTGAATAAAAACGGTATTTCACATCCGAAATTTTACGGTAATATTGTACTTAAAGCGCGGAAATCACTATATGATCCGTGTAAACTCATCGAACCTTTAAACAAACTTATTAGTAAAGGTTATCCTACCAATGTTGTAATTAGATCTTTTGAATATAGTTAACATTGACACTAATATCGATTTTGTCATCAGCAAACTAAAACATAACTAAATTTGTATTCTTTTCAAACGGGATGTATAAAGACACACCCACGTTCATTTTGATCTATCAAGAGGTTACTCCTAACTATCCTACTGCCTGTCGATACATTTATTTTTGGCATTGCACAAGTCATGTCTTCTTTGACTGTCCATGACGTTAAAATACTAAATTCCTTGGATATGTTTTAGTTAATTTTAGTCTGATGCATGATTTTTTATTATTAATTGTTTTTTTTTTTTTTTTTTTTGCTTTTAAATAGCTGTCAGTAACTGCGAGTACTCTCAAATCGTACTTTCTTGTTTATTTGACCTGTTGATACTAACTGTAATGCTTTTTTAATATTTACTTTTTACTTTTTCAGGGTTATATCTGGTCTATATACCAGCTTTGATAAGTGTTTGGTGTTACTATAAATTTTCACTTCTTCGTACTATAACATCAAAATTATTTATTTTGTAAAAATATTTCCTTAGTTTATTTATTTTGTATTTACATTGTGTCATAGATCAAATTTATTTGTTCAGTGTATGTTCACTGATGTTTATATGTCTTTTGATTGAGTTTAGCCATTTCAATTGATATTTTATAGTGTGTCTTTCTATGTTGTGATGTTACACTATTGTTTCAGATAAGGATGAAGGTTTGGTACCATTAAAACGTTTAAAGCCGCTGCAATTGTTTGCACCTGTCCTAAGTCAGGAATCTGATGTTCAGTAGTTGTCGTTTGTTGATGTGGTTCATAAGTGTTTCTCGTTTCTCGTTTTTTATATAGATTGGACCGTTGGTTTTCCCGTTTGAATGGTTTTACACTAGTCATTTTTGGGGTCCTTAATAGCTTGCTGTTCGATGTGAGCCAAGGCTCCGTGTGTGTTCAAGACCGTACTTTGACCTATAATGGTTTACTTTTATAAATTTTGACTTGGATGGAGAGTTGTCTCATTGGCACTCATACCACATGTTCTTATATCTATATGGAGTACGGAAATATTTTTTACAAAATAAATAATTTTGTTGTTCGATTTGTACGATTTGAGAGTACTCACAGTTACTGAAAGCTAGCTAAAAGCCAAAAACAATTAATAATAAAAAATCATGCATCAGAGACTAAAATCAACTAAAACATCACAGGGATTTAGTGTTTTAACGTCATGGACAGTCAAAGAAGACATGCCTTGTACAATGCCAAAATAATTGTATCGACAGGCAGTAGGATAGTTAGGAGCTAACCTTTTAATATATATGTATAATGTTATATATAGATAGAGTAATTAATCTCTACATAGAAAATGAACGTGGATATGTATTTAAACATCCCATAAAACCGTTTGAAAAGAATACAAATTTAGTTATGTTTTAATTTGCTGATGATAAAATCGATAGTTGTGCTAATGTAAACTATATTCAGAGATCTAATTACATTGGTACATGTATGATAACCTTTACTAATAAGTTTGTTTAAAGGTTCGATGAGTTTACACGGATCACATAGTGATTTCCGCGCTTTTAGTACAATATTACCGTAAAATTTAGGATGTGAAAAACTTTTTTTAACAAGTTTTCTACAGGTGCAACCAAGTTTACTAATCACATCCCTGTATCTATGAAAGAATTTAGTAAAAGTTTTACGTAATTTATGGTAACGAAATCCCTGACTTAATAATTTACCAGGGATACATTGATTACGTTCGTTAAAATCTATGACATCACTACACACACGGGCATAACGAACGAGTTGGGATATATAAACACTGCATGATGAAGGCAAAGGAACATCGCCGTCGAAAAAGGGAAAATTAACAATAGGCAATGAAAAATCGTCTCTTTTGTCGTAAATTTTAGTATGGAGTTTCCCTTTAGAAATTGAAATGTCTAAATCTAGAAAAGGACAACTACTGCTGTTTATGTTTTATTTATTTAATTCAAAGTAAGTTCCTTTTGGTAAATTTCGGTAGTATATTTAGAGAACTCTGGATTATTTTACGAAAAAATATCATCAAGATAACGCTAGGTATTGTTGAATGTATCAACCAAATGTAACAATGACGTGTTTTTACTGAGTTTGGTCATAAACTGAGATTCATAGAAAAACAGGAATAAGTCTGCTATTAAAGGGGCGCAGTTAGTGCCCATAGGAATACCTAATACCTGTCGATACACTTTATCGCCGAAACGTACATATATGTTGTCAAGGAGAAAATTTAAAGCTTCGTTCATATCTTCACATTTCCAGTAAGTGTCTAGCATACTTTCCTTTTTCATTACAGAAAAGGCTTTAAGTGAGTTACAGCACATAAATTTGCAATGAGATTTTTCAAAAGACCATTTAATTAAATATGAAAACTTTTTCTTGTTAAGATTGGGTGGAAGTGTAGTGTAGAGAGTAAAAAAATCATAACTGTCATCAGAATAAGAAGGTTTTCAATAGCACGTATTTTATCTAAAATCTCTAAAGAATTTTTAACACTCCAAAAATACATAATACCATTATTTTCATAAGCTTTATTACAAAAGTTAATAACAAGTTCTTTCATATTAGTAAGGGAGGTAGTTAGAAGCACTGACATATTAGTAGTAGAACACTTAGTAGATGCGGAGATGAAACGGAATTTAAATGGTTGTTTGTGTAATTTAGGTAACCAGTACATAGCAGGACTTTCAAATACTAGTCAGTAAGTGATCTTAGGAGTGGTTTCTAGTATTAATACTGGTAAGTTAAGAAAAGATTAGACAAGTTTTGATTTTTATTTTTTTTTTTTTTTTTTTTTCGATTGATGGATTTTATTACAATAACATTGGTCTCCGGTAAGTAAAACTGACCCTGTCTACATAAACTAATCGTATGTGTTGCTTTATATTGTGTTCTTATATTTTTTATTCATATCATGATAATTTCTGTCACAGAAAGGTTTGTCAGCTTGTAATATGTGTACTTTCCTGCGCGTATTAGAAAAAAATACCAATGTCAGATTATTTGACCGCTCAAATACATTTATTTTATTTTTTCGCTGTGGCTGCATTAAAACAACAGAATCACACTCCTTAAATATCATCAAAATATCATTGAAAAGTCTTAATTTATTTTATGTTCCGTTGATAGCGTGCGGCCACCTTTAAGCGCTAGAAATATCAGTAAAATATCCGGGCATAAACTAATTTCGGCAATCTTTTTGCAGGTTGATTTGAATTATCTCGCTTTGAACTGACTTGCATTGTACGATTCAAGATATTTACGACGAGAATGGATATCCAATCTAAAACAACCTAGTCTCCTTTTTTTAATTCGTTATGCCAATTTTATTTGAAAGAAAAATTAAGCTCTCACAGCCCCTTAATTACCCTTCTCCTTTGCTGATCTAACAATATAATGCTTTACATGTAGTATATACCTTTCTGTAAAAGTTTACCGCTATTCATTTTTATTTTTGTTTGTTTTGTATGTCATTGCTACTAGTAATAAAGTAAATTTTGATACATTTGTTATCCATTCGTTTGATGTGTTTGAGCTTTTGATTTTGCCATTTGATTAGGGACTTTCCTTTTTGAATTTTCCTCGGAGTTCAGTATTTTTGTGATTTTACTTTTTCATTATTAAGTTAAAGTAATTGACACATTTTCATCTTTGAGTTAACGTAATTGACGCATTATCATCATTAAGTTAAAGTACGTGACTCCACACGTTGTAATCATTTCCAAGTTTATAACCTAAATAATTTTGAATAAAGAGTATCACAAGAGCCTGAATTGCTAACCAGCTATGCCATTTTAATATATATGTTTCCCTTCATTGCAATCAGTACTAGTAATATAGAGTTAAACCTGCTTTCAGGCAATAGCATCTATTAGCGGTCTACTGATAATTACGGCGAAGTTGTCTTAAGGATGTTCGCTACTCTGTTTCTAAATAACAAGCTTTTTAAAAAATTGTTATATATTGAAAGTATATGATTAAAGGAACCAAAAAAGCAGAAAAAAATAAAGGATTCGTATGCTTGTTTTCGAGATTTAAGCCATTGAAAACTTGGTGGGAAATGATTCTCTTTAGATTTTTCATTCACATTTGCACTTTTTTTCTTTCCAAAACTATGAAAAAATAATAAGGATTTTATAAGATTTTCAAAAATGGCTTTTTAACTATATGTATAGAATTATGAAAAGAAA